TATCTGTTTGTTTGCGGGAGGGCCCTGGAGGTGGGGAGGGAGCTGGTGAGAGCCAGGATCCCTGGGGTATTTATCTGTCCCACTGCAGAACTGCTGCAGACTGAGGATTTTGGGGAGCAGGGAGCAGAGGGAGCCGGGCCGGGCCGGAGTGCAGAGCCTGAATAGCTGCAGCCTCCAGTGCTTTCAATCACTCCTGTATTCCAAACCCGAAACTGCTGTTTGGGAACCTGTTGCTGCTAGAAGAGGTGGGAATCTCCTTCCCCAGAGACCTTTTCCCTCTCTGTTCTCACAGTGGCTGCCCGAGGGGGTCTCAGTCAGGTTCCTGCACTGGTGGCTCTGTGCGTGCACACCCAATCCGTGAGGTCTGAGCCCTCACAGCGGGAACACCTGGAATGCTGGCTCAGGAGTGCACGTGCTGTTGGTGAGAGCCGAGCCAGGCGTCACACCGGGCCTTGCCAGGCGTCTGACCATGCAATTCCTGCTTCAATCCAACTAGGACAGGAGCAGACCTCTGCCTTGTTCTTGCCCATCCGTGTGAGCCCCTCTGGGAGCAGAGCATTGCCATGGTCAGGTCCTGGCCGGTCACTCGCACTTTACTGGACGATCCAAACTGACCGAAGGCGGCCGGGACCCGCCGGAGCCGCGGGGCTCGGCCTGTGAGGATTGCGCTGGTGCTGGGCACCCTCCTGGGATGCTCCTCCTTTCCCAGGCTGTGTTCAGTGTACTCCAGATAGGAAAAGCTGCCTGAGGAGCTTAAAACAATCCAAAATACATTATGGATTCCCCTTCCTCCTTCTGTTCCAATCAGACTCACCTCACTGATGGGTGAAACTCCCAAATACCTGTTTGTAACCAACTGGTAGGTGCTCATCCCTTTCCCTTCCCATAAATCCTGCTTAGTGCAATCTGGCAAGGAGGAAGAGTAGATCCTGCTCACAGTGCATTCCCTAGGCACAATCCCAAATTCTCTATGGTATTCCCAAGAATCCTGCTGGAGTATTTGAGAGTTCTAGATCCAACAGCTCAAAATCCAAGAAACCTTGGGAAAGGAGCATTTCCCTTCCCTGGAATGTCACAATCACATCATCCAAAGGGAGGGTCATGTGGAGAAACCATCTGGCAGAGCTCAGTGGGTCTCCAGGGAGACACTGAGGTGGTTGGAGTGTGCCCTTCCCAGCCTGCCAGGATCCGTGCGCTGCCGTGAATGCCCAGGAAGGAGGAGGCTGCGTCCTTGTGGGAAAGGGCTCTGGGAACGGACGGAGCATCTTGGGATTTCCCTGGCACAGGTGTAGAGAAAGAGACACTGGAAGTGAAGTGAAGGATGGGGTTTCCAGCCAAGGCAGGTTTAGGATCTGTTCCTAAGCCGGCGGTGGGGGCTGGAAGAGAGGCACAGGCATTGCTGTTGGTGCAGAGCAGGACGAGGGTGGCGAGGGGCAGGTGGCAGGGCTGGGGTGGGGGGACACCCCAACCTCGGGTGGCTTTGGGTGCAGAATCAGCCGGAGCCTCCGCACGTGCCAAGGGGGTCTGCTCCAGGCTGGGGCTGGGATGTACAGTGTGAATAAAAGCTTGCAGCTCTTTAGGCTTTTTTGGATCGATGAAGCACTTTTTTTATTAATATTATTTTTTCTTTGTATGTAAAGGAGGAAGCCGTCTCTCCGTAGCTGTGTACAGAAATAACCCTTCTCTCCGCAAGAGAGTAAAGTGCTCCTATATTTTTCATTTTTGTCAAAAGCGAGAAGTAAATACTTTAGAATTGTTAAATATATAAATAAAAGTGAATAAAGTTTAGACTTTTGCATGGGAGCATTTGCTAACACACTTTCTAATTTTTTATGTTTCTTCCCCGTCCCTCGGAGGGGACGTTATTGGAACACCAAGGCCTTGGAAAAGGAGGCTGCAGCTGCTGCCCTTGGCTTTCTGTTCTATGCTGTGCCTTTCCAAGGAACAACAAACTGCCACTCCTAAACTTAAGACAAAAAATTAAATCTTGTGCTTGGTTTTCCTGGTGCAGGAGTCCCAGGAAGGGGGAAGCACACAACACAGTGTGTGCCAGTCTCAGTTTCCTCCATAGTGTGTTTTTCTTTTTCCCCTTGATCAGCCATGGTGTTTCAGTCTGGTGATGTTACCCAAATACAGGAGCAGCCCGGATCTCCAGGGAATTCCCCTGCTTTCCGTGGGGTTTGGCAGTGGAGGCTCCATTCCCACTTGCACCTGCCTTGTCCTGATGCTGGATGGTGGAGCTGTGGCTCTTTGGGAGCAAACCAAACTCACTCAGGTTAAGATCTTTGTCCCAGAAGGTGGAGAACTCAACTGGTGTTTGTCCTGCACAAGGATTATTCCCATTTTCCAAGCACTGCCTGCTCATTCCAGCTGTGCACAGTCCTCAGGCCCCCCACCATCATTTATTTCTTCTCTTACATATTTGAGGATTTGCCCTGAATTCCTGGGGGTCTGAGCAGCTGTGAGGGACCTTGAGCACAATCCATCTGTGATTCGATGGTGTTCATCAAATCAAAATAAACCAGGTTGGGGTAGAGCTGCTGATGGAATCTGGAGTGGAAAAGAAGCAGGAATCGCGTTTGATGCAGTCTTTCAGTTACACCTCACAGTGGGATTTCCTGGAGCTCCTCTCATCCTTGAGTTTCTCCTGAGGGCTTTCTCAGGAGCTCCTTGTCCTGCAGATGTTACAGCCCCGGGCACAGCGCTGCCGGGAAGTTTCTGCTCTGGGAAATGCCGGGTGTGGGTCTCTGCCCCGGCAGGGGGATCGGGGAACTTCCGAGCTTCCCCAAGGTGCAGAAGGGCTCCTGCCAGGGGCAGCAGCTCTGCCCGAGGAGGACACGGCTGAGGTGCCAAAGCTCATTTCCCCGTGCTCAATTCTTCCTAAGGAGCCTCTTCCCTCTCTCCTTTGTCCCAGCTCCCGCACAGCCTATGGGCCTGTCGGGACACCGGCGCTGCTGTCGCGATAGGCGGCTTCAGTGCTGCCCGCGGCTGTGGAACAACCTCCTGAGTCGGGATCTCAGACAGGGTCAGGAATCACCGGGAGCTGAGGGCCCCTCTCATGCCAGGGTCCCCTGCTCCCCCACGGGGCAGAGGGAGGTGGCACTGGGTGGCACTGGGTGGCACTGGGGGCACTGGGGGCACTGGGTGGCACTGGGGGCACTGGGTGGCACTGGGGGCACTGGGGGCACTGGGTGGCACTGGGCAGGAGGGATCTCACCTGGGAGGGCTCAGTGAGGGTGGTGGAGGCAGGGGCAGGGTGGGGAAGGGAGGAAAGAAGGTGTTTGGGAACTGCTCCACGACCCGGGAAAGGCTGCAGGAGGGGGAGGAACCCTGCCCTGGGACGGGTTCCGAGGTGCTGGGAGGCTGCAAAGGGCAATCAATAACCACGGGCGGGAAGCTGAGCAGGTTCAGGGCCTATCAAACAGTCCTGGAATTACCCAGGATGAGGTTTGGAGTCAGCACTGAGCCAAGGGCAGCTCTGCAGGAGGCCCAGGTGTTCCCCAGGCTTGGAGCCGCCCATCTCTTCCCACAGCGCAGCTGCCACAGCTCCCATTGTTGCATTTTGGGATTTCAGCTCACCATTCTTTGCACTTGGACATTTTATAAATGCTGCTAAAGTTTGACTTTATTATTTAACAAATCTGCGTTTTAAACCAATTTCCCACAGCTCTGTCACAAAATGATTTTCAGACCTTGCAGTGGCAGCAGGTGATGGGTTTGATTGTCCTCTTTTTGGGTGGGATTTATATTAAAATGACATCTGAAGTCTCAATTACTTACTTGAAGCACATGAAATAGTTGAAACCATGCCAAGCTCTGAGGACAGAGCTGTTCAGCAGCACTGGAAGTGTCAGACCCTCATGTGTGTAACAGCCTTTATTCCTCTGTAGCCTCAGAGTGAATATTTAGATCCTAATAAATCTATCATTTTCCTACACAGTGATGAGTTCATAGTCCCTTGTTCTCTGAGTTGGTGCATCTGCAGAGCTCCCAGTTTGAGGGGCTTATTTTTAGGCAAATTACAGCTCATGTATGAGGAAAAATTAATCCTGGTGTTCAGAAATGTAAAATAGGCTGGGAAAAGGGGAAGCCTGGATTGGCAGCAGTTGGAGATGAGCCCTAGGGAGAGCAGGGGATCCCAGCCCTGCAAACACTTCCAGCACGTGGCCTTTCCCTCCTGGGTCACATCCACCTCCTGCTGTTGGAGCCACGGGCACATCTGGGGGTGGATGTTCTGCTGTGGTCACTCAGACCCTGCCCTGCTCCCTCTCTTTGCTGCTCCCTGAGCTCCACAGGGCACAGCAGCTCCTGTGCACTGACCCTGTGAGATCTCTGACACCAAACTGCAGGGACAGAGTCCTGGTGCCAGGACACAGGGAATGGCTCCCACTGCCAGAGGCAGGGATGGATGGGATATTGGGAATTAGGAATTGTTCCCTGGCAGGGTGGGCAGGCCCTGGCACAGGTGCCCAGAGCAGCTGGGGCTGCCCCTGGATCCCTGGCAGTGCCCAAGGCCAGGCTGGACATTGGGGCTGGGAGCAGCCTGGGACAGTGGGAGGTGTCCCTGCCATGGCGGGGTGGCACTGGATGGACTTTAAGGTCCCTTCCCACCCAAACCATTCCATGATTCCATGATTCTGTGATGTAGGAGATTTTCCAAACCCAAATGTTCTTTATTCTCTGCAATCACAGACAACAGAAGCCCTTTGCTGCTGGGGCTGGTTCATGGCATTTGGGTGATTTCAGGGAAGCTCTGCTTGGCTCAGGCTGTGATCCCTGTGCCAGGACACAGGGAGCCCATGGAGCCTCCCTTGCTGTGTCCTGTTGGGATTGCTCCACTCTGCTCCTCCCCAGAGCCACCCTTTGTGTCCTCCTGGCTCTGCCATCTCTGAACCTCTGGACAACCCCAATCTCAGCACACAGCTCCTTCCCTCTCTTCCCACTCAGTGTCTGGCTGCTGCAGCATTTCCCAGCTATAAATTCCAGCTGTCTTCAGTCTATTAATCCTTTCTTCTTCTATTAGCAACTTCTTAATTAAAAACTTGTAGCCAGCAGGGCAATACCAAGCAGGTCGACTGATGGGCTGAGGGGAAGGAGAAGCCCACAGCCAGTGCTTAGGTGGAGAATTACTGGATTTCAGTCCAAAACTTACGTAGAATTTATGTCAGGATGGATTGCAGCATCATTAGGACACATGCATAGGGAATTAATCAACTTTCTGGAGGCCAGAAAGAATAAAAATCCCTTTTTTCTTCAGAAAGCTGCAGTTTCTGAGGTCAATGTTCACAGCCACAGTGGGTGGAAAGGGCTGCCCCTGGAGCAAACCCCCCCCAGGGGTGGAAGTCTGTGGTCAGCACTGGAAAGCAGGAAGGTGAACAGAGAAAAGGATGGATTTCTGGATTTAATCAGCTTCAGATAACTTTCAGTTTGATTTTGGTTGGTTTTCTTAAACAAATAAGAGTGTCGGCACTTGAAGAGCTGCTGCTTCCAGCTCTTGTCTGGATTTTGTCACTGGGGCTTTGCCTAAAGCACTGTGAGAACATTCCAGCACCTTGGAGTGACTCTCGGGGCTGTGTCTGCACTAGGAAACCTCAAAGCCGTGGATTTCAGCCCGGGGCAGGTGGGGGTCGCTCCTAAAGGATTTGGTTTGACCCCTTGTGGAACGGGACATTCCAGCACACCTGGAATCTGCAGGTACCCGAGGATTTGGGGGATTGTTTGGATTGCAACCCACCTGGTGTCCGTGCGGGGGCTGCGGGCGCTCAGAGCCGGCTACTCCCGAACACCAGGGCGCTGTCCCGGAGCGCTGCCCCGGCCCCGTAGCCGCCCCTCGCTGACTCCGCGGCCACCGGGCACAGCTCCTGCTCGCACCACCTGGATGGAGACAGCGCTGGGCTCTGCCGGTCCTGCCACCCGCGCGGGGCTGGTACCGAGCCCAGCCCGGGGGGATCCCGCCCGTCAGTGCGGGAATGGAGACGGCCCGAGCGGGGAAAAGCCCCGGGGCTGAGAGCAGCCGCTGCTCGCTCCCAGCTCTGCTCCTGGGCCTGGCCATGGCCAGGGCTTGGATCGCTCCGGAGGCGGAGTAAAGCCTCTGGCGCTGCCCATGGAATCTTCCAGAACACTCGGGGCGCGCTGGGCTGTGCCTACCTCAGGGCAGCGCAGATGTCTGTGGGGGAAGCGCCGGGCCGAGCCGCGTGTTCCATTAAGACAGCTCCTGCAGGGGAGGAGGAGGAGGTGTCAGCATTCCCAGGCTCTGCCAGAACAGCCCAGGGCTCAGGAAAAATGGCTGGTGGTTACTCCTGAGCAGTGCCTGAAGGCTGAGCTGCTTCAGCATGAAAGGTGGGAACTGAGCTCCAGAGCTCCACCCTTGAGCCAGGTGTGAATCAGGTGCCTGTGGCTGATTCCCAGCCCTTTCCTGGTCTGAAATCCATCAGCAGCACAGGAAGAACCTGGAGCTGCTGGAATCTACAGGAAACCATGGAGATGCTCCAAGGGCTGGAGCCAGGCTGGGAGAGCTGGGGGTGCTCACCTGGAGAGGAGAAGGCTCCAGGGACACCTCAGAGCCCCTTGCAGGGCCTAAAGGGGCTCCAGGAGAGCTGGAGAGGGACTGGGGACAGGGGATGGAGGGACAGGACACAGGGAATGGCTCCCACTGCCAGAGGGCAGGGATGGATGGGATATTGGGAATCAGGAATTGTTCCCTGGCAGGGTGGGCAGGCCCTGGCACAGGTGCCCAGAGCAGCTGGGGCTGCCCCTGGATCCCTGGCAGTGCCCAAGGCCAGGCTGGACACTGGGGCTGGGAGCAGCCTGGGACAGTGGGAGGTGTCCCTGGCCATGGCAGGGGTGGCACTGGATGAGCTTTGAGATCCCTTCCCACCCAGCCCATGCCATGGTTCTGTGATTCCTGGGTTGCCCTGCCTGTGTAGATCCGTGCCAGGCTGTAGGAGAAGTCCCTGGCTGCCATCTCCATGGTCAGTGCCCGCTCTGAGCCCGTGGCTGCCATGAACTGCCGGAGGCTCCCGATGGCTTCCTGTGCCCTCTGCACAGCTGGGGACAGCTCCTCAGTGCCTGAAGCCAGCTCCAGCTTTTTCTGCAGAGAGAACAACCACAGGAAAAATTCCAGTGTATTTGCCTTGTGCCAGGGAAGGGGCTGCTGGGACCCTGGGCACACCCAGCTGCTGACAACAAACTCAGATCCAGGTGGCTGCCACTGGCACAGGGGGAGCAGCCAGAGAAGGGGATGTGCTCAAAGGAAGCTCCCAGCCTTGCCTTGGGGAGGGAGAATTCCCTGTCACCAGAGCCAGCACATTGCTGTTTCCATTCTGGCTTCCCAGCTGCACATGGAGACCAGCTCTCATCCCTAGTTTTCTCTAACTCTATACCTGTATCAGGGCTAATTCTCTCAGGATTATATAATGGCTTGCACAAATATGCTCAAGCTGTGTCCAGGCAGGAAAATTCACATTTAAAGGAGCTTTCCTCTCCAAATTGTGTCAGTGGGAAAGGCCCCAGGACAAGAGGAAATGGCTTCAAGCTCCACTGGGAGAGGTTCAAGTTGGATATTAGAGAAAATTTCTTCACTGAAAGGGTGGTCAGGCACTGGCACAGCTGCCCAGGGCAGTGGTGGATCCCCAGCCCTGGAGGGATGTAAAAGTCATGGGGATGTGGCACTTGGGGACATGGGTATGTGGTGGCCTTGGCAGTGCTGGGGAATGGCTGGACTTGATCCCAGAGGGCTTTTCCAACCTAAAGGATTCTGTGATTCTGATGGAGATTGGGAATTTAACTGTGCCAGCAGCACTGCCTGAAATCTCCTCTGGCTGAGCCGAGCTTCTGTTCTGCCACATCCCAAATCCCTTGTGAAAACACCAGGGATACCCTGCTGAGAGTCTGGAATTGTTCTTTGGGGCTGGCATTCCCACACTGTTCATCTGTGTCTCCTGTGTTGTTCCCTGTTAGGAGGAGTGGGACACTGCCTGTGCTGGGGGCTGGCCCTGCCTCGTGGGCTGTGGTCCCATCTTCCCTCACTCCAACCCCTCTCTCTGCAGCAGGACTGAGGGATCAGCTTGGAGAGCATCCCCAAAGGCTGGATGTGAGCAGCACAGCGTGGTGGGAGGTGCTGTTCATTAATTAGCTCCATCAATAACCTGCAGACCAGACTGAAGCCTGTGAGCAGCAGCTACACAGAAGGAATTTTTTATGTTTCTCAGGCTTTCAGTGCCGCAGCTCCTCTTACTGGACCAGAAATTCCATCTGGGCTGGGCTGAGCCCACGTTTGCTCTGTGTTCTCTGAGTGCCCAGACCCCAAACTTCCACACTTGCCAGTGCTGCTGTTGCAGGCTCCAGGGGCAGAAACACCCCCAGCATGTGCTGGTCAAATACAAGAATGACTCCAGTGCCAACATAAATCCCATAAACCTCCAAGCCCATGGAATACTAATGAGGTGTTCTGAAGTAGCCCAGAGGTTGTTGCTAATGAGGATCACAGATCCCAGAGGCATCAACTCCCACAGTTTGGGTGGGAGCCAGCATGGCACCAGCCAAGCACAGGGACACCACAAACACCTGCTGCTTGTGGCTGGGACACAGACATACTGCCACAGCTGGAGGACTTGAACACCTGGAAATATGGATCAGGAATGTAAAAGCATCATTTGTCCTTAAGGGATAAAAAAGACCTTGTATTTTCTTTGCTTGCCAATATTTTTTTTCCAATTGCAATTTTAAATTTCTAATTTATTCCTTTCCTAAAAGTCCTTCATCTCCTGGAAGGTTTTTCCATGCTCTCTCTGCACTTGGGCTGGAGAGACTGGGAGCTGCTTCAGGGCAATGCTCAAGGCAGGAGCAGCTCCTGTTCTCTGCTGGTTGCTCTGCTCCAGCTGTGGGTGGAGGCACACACAGCATCACTGCCCCACCACCCCTTACTGCCTGAAAGGATCAGCAAAGGAGCTGCAGAGCTCCAATAGTTCTGATTCCCTCTGGTTTCATGGAGGCATTTTAAGATGCTGCTTGTTTGTTTGCTCTCACTGGCTCCCAAGCCATGTGGTCAGAGTGGTTTTTACTTACAAGATTAATCATGAGTATCTAAAAATACAGTGACAGGAGGAACATCCCAACCAGGGCTAAAAGCACAATTTTGTGTCAATGCTTGGAGTGAACACATGGCCCCACATCAATAACCTCCATTTGTTTCCTGCTGCCTGAAAATTGGGGTTGTGGTCTGAAAAGGACCTGAAAACACTGTCATATGTCTGAGATTGCAAGGCTGATTTACAGCCTGAGTTACAGCCTGAATTACAGCCCTACACAGAAATTCTTGAGGCAAGAGTTGATTCTGAGCCTTGCACGACATGTGCGGGGCTGGTGCTGAGACCCTGTCCTGGGATGTGCCCAAATTTCACCTGAAGTGACTCAAATGCAACAATCAACAAAATGCCCTGAGCTATTTTAGAGGCACTTTTCAGATTGTAATTGAATTTGAAAGTACACCCAGGGCTCTGGCTCAAAATTCCAGCTAATAAAATTTTAGTACAACACAAACTGACTGGTCCTGTGCAGTATCCACCTGAAATTCTCACCACAGCACAGCTGGAAGTCAGGATGTGTCCTGGACTGATCCCAAACCATGGCCAGCAGGAGAGGGGGGAGAGGGGGGATTCTGCCACTCTGCCCTGCCCAGGTGAGACCCCACCTGCAGAGCTGCCCCAGCCCTGGGACCCAGCACAGGAGGGACCTGGAGCTGCTGAAGAGAGTCCAGAGGAGGCCAAAGGGATGCTCTGAGGGCTGGAGCTGCTCTGGAGCCAGGCTGGGAGAGCTGGGGGTGCTCACCTGGAGAGGAGAAGGCTCCAGGGACACCTCAGAGCCCCTGCCAGGGCCTAAAGGGGCTCCAGGAGAGCTGGAGAGGGACTGAGGACAAGGGATGGAGGGACAGGACACAGGGAATGGCTCCCACTGCCAGAGGGCAGGGATGGATGGGATATTGGGAATTGGGAATTGTTCCCTGGCAGGGTGGGCAGGCCCTGGCACAGGGTGCCCAGAGCAGCTGGGGCTGCCCCTGGATCCCTGGCAGTGCCCAAGGCCAGGCTGGACATTGGGGCTTGGAACACCCTGGGATGGTGGAAGGTGGCAGGGGTGGGATGAGAGGCGTTTTTAGGTCCCTTCCCACCCAAACCATTCCATGATTCCATCCCTGTCTCTCACACTCACTCTTCTCCCCAGGATTTCCAGACTCATAACCTCTAGACAAGGTGGTTTGTCACAAACTCACTTGTGTACTAAAAACCCTAAAAATTCATCTTCTCATAGTCATATTGTGCAAGGATGGGGCAGTTCTCTGTATTTCCCTTTTCCTGATGATAATTACAACCCTTGGTTCCTGCTCCTGATCACAGCCCCAGCAGCACTGGGCATCTCACCATCAGTAGAGACAAGTGATAGAGGATAGAAGCAAAACCTGGAGTTACCCTTGAAATGACTTTCAGAGAACCAAGAGCTGTACAGGTACTAATGCTGCTTTCTGCAAAGCCTCTGACAATGGGCACAAGTCCTGCACACTGAGAACCTTGATGGACAAACATAAAATAAATTGTACTCGGTTTGTGTGCATCAATAAAAAGGAAATGGATTGGGGCAGTAAAAACCCCTTTACGATGGGTTAAATTATTTCCACAGTAGACAGGATTGGGAGGAATGTTTCAAAATGAACCAGACTCTCAGACTGAAAGAATTTGGACACCTGGCGCTCAGAAAGATGTTGTTTATCACCTGTGAGTGAAAACCTGATTCTGGTGTAGAAACTCAAGCACGTTCCTGCAGAACTCTGCAGACAGAAACCCCTCCCAGGCTGCCTTTCCAGCACCTGGCTGCCCGAGGCATAAAGGAAAAGCTTAAACTGGCCAGCTCTGATTCTATCCAGAACAGGAGCATCCACCCTGCTGAGCCCAGCCCAGCCCCTCTCCCTGACATGCAGCAGTGACAGGGACAGTAAAGGCAGTGGCATTGCTGGAATTTGGAGACCTTGAAGCCAGCACTCCCCTCCCCCTCCAGCCTCACCCACAGCGTGATTGATGGGAGCACTGAGGAGCTCGTTAATTAATGAATCTCAGTGCTCCCGTTTCTGCTCTGCAGGTCCCTGCTCTGCATCACGGGCTGTGCTCCCCCATGCTCCCCAATGCTCCCTGATTATCCAGCTGTTGAGCAGCTGGAGGGGCCCTCCCAGCTGCACCAGGGAGCTGCTCCAGGGTGCAGCACAGCACCTTTGTGAGCTGTTTGTTCAAATTAGTGTTCAGTGTAAGACTGTGGGGGCTGCTTCTTTCCAAATTATTTTAGAGCCTACCCACAGCTCCTTTACTTCCCCATCCATTACCTGCAGTGTCAGCCTAAGCAGCTGTTTGCCAACAGCTGGATTTGCCCCCAGCAGATGTGCTCAGTGCTGCTCCTGAGCAGATCTGGCTCCTTGTTTGGTGCTCAAATCATTTGAGGTATTTCTCCCTTCTCAAAAGTTGTCTGAGAGGATGGCAAGGGGACCCTCAGCCCTGGAGGTCACAGAGGTGCACAGAGCACAGCTGAACTGGGGGGTGAGATGGGACACAAGCTGCAGCCACTGTTAGAACTACCCAGGCTCTGGAAAGCTCTGCCCAGTCCCCAGTGCTGGAGGAGAACATTGTGCCAGACTCTTCCCTCCTCATGGGGTCTGGGTGGGAAGGTGAAGGCTGCACACCACCAAATCCAGATGCCCAGGATTCCCTTGCTGTGCCTGGGCTAACAAGATCTGGATTGCTGTGTCTGGATTAATAATGTCACCTCTGAGACAACACCCTCTGATCCTGCCTCCTGTCTCCCTTTTTGGGATGCTCCAAGGCAGGAGATGCTCCTTCACCTTCATGAAACTGAGCTGCTTTGAACTCCTGTCACCTGAGCAGCTTTAAAAGTAGAGCCAGAGAACAGCAAATCCAAAGAGGCAGAAATGGAATTCCTTTGGCTCTTTCCATCTTTTCAGGGAATAAAAATAGAAAGTCATAATGCAGTAGATAGCCCTAGTGAGGTTCAATATTCAGCAGTCCTGTGGTGATTTTCCAGTTAAGAAACAAAACCACAAAATTATTTTGGATTCAGGAAGGTGAGTCACATTAAAAAAAAACCACTTATTTTGCTACCTGTCTTGAGGAACTCTGACAGTGCCAAGCTCCCCACTGCTGAGCTGAAAGCACACGAGGATCTCAGGATTAGCACTGCCTGCATCCTGCTTTTGGAAGAGCTATTTAAGGAGCAGAATTGTAAGACACAATTCCAATTGTTGGGATACTTGTCTAAAGCTTCAGTTTGGGCCTATTCCCTGCCAGCCTCAGGCAGGAGCACAAACCCCAAAGAAGGCTGTGCCAGGGTGAGGCTGAGCAGAGCTGCAGCTGTGGCTCACCTGCACTGTGGACAGGAACACAGCCATCACCTGCCCTTTGCTCTTGGCCAGGGATCGCAGCACATCCAGGGACAGGATATTGGTTGTTCCCTCCCATATGGACAGCACCTGTGTGGAAGAGCATGGAGGAACCTTTGCAGTGACTGCAGCAAAGAAGTGGAGTGGGAGGGAACAGAGACACAGGGCAGACACAGGGATACCAAGGATATCTCCAGAGATGCCTTGTCTCACAACAAGTGGAAGGGAGCAGTGGAGCCCAGCTCCATTGCTGTGCTGGGGAACAGCCTCAGCACAAGGAACACACCCTGGGGGTGACTGGGCTCAGCAGGAAGGCAATGAGGGAAGAGCTGACACACCTGGAGTGAGCCTGGGAGGGCTCTGTTCTCCCTTGAGTGTGTCTTTAGCAGGGAAGCAGAGTGCTGTGCAGGGGACTTGGTGACACACAGGACCTTCTCCTGCCACCCTCTTACCAGAGCATCCCGGAGTATGACTGGCAAGCCTGTGTCCTCCATGTAACCTTGGCCCCCAAAACTCTCCATTGCCTCAACAGCCACGGCAGAAGCCTGCAAAATGCAGAGAGCTGGCATGATCCACAGTGCCTGAGGGGAAAATCCAACCTCCCACACCACACAGCAGCTCCTGCTGGGATGGGCTGACTGGGTCCTGCTCATCTCCTGAGGCAGGTTGGTCATTACCTGCAGGAGGAGCAGATGGGAATTGTTGCATTGTGATTTCAGGGTTTACCTCAGAACCCCGGGTCCCTCCCCTGGTAATTCCCTCCCAGGTGTGTCAGTCACCTCTCCTTCCCCCTCCCAGCACTGTCTGTCAGTCCTGGCATTCCAGAAGGGCCTCGAGTGATTGGCAGATTCAAAAGATGCCCTCTACCCCTGGGGGGCATTGGGCCATCCAGGTGTCCTTTGTCCCTTTGTCCCTCCCCTCCTGTCCCTGCTTGGTGGCTCCCGACCCCTTCCCTGCTCCTCTCCCCGGGGTTAAAGGAGCAGCAACCACGGGCTCAGGGAGTTCTGTTGGAGCTGGTGCTGCATTCAGAGGCCTGAGGGCCAGAATAAAGCTCTGGATCCAAACCCTCCATCAGAACCAACTCCTTTCCTTCACCGTCCCCTAAAGCTTCTCTGCCAGAGGGAAACCTGAGGAGCAGCCCCTGTTATGGAGGGAAGCTCCATCCCAGCACCACCAGAGCTCCTGCAGGCCTGGACTTGTCTCCAAGTGCCCAGCTGCAGCACCCAGGCAGCCAAAAGTGTCTGTGGGTGAAACACCACACACCCAGCCAGCCAAAAGTGTCTCTGGGGTGAAACACCACAGTTGCTGCTATTTGGTTCAGCAGCAAGGGCCAGACAAGCTCAGGCACGTCCTGTCCAGCTATATTGGTAATTATTCCAATAGGGAATGAAGCCTGAGTGACACTGAGAGAGGACCTGCAGGAGCAGCAGCCTCCAGAGCAGGAATTGCTGCAGCTTCTGCAGGTATCCCCTGCTCTCACTGCTGTGTCACTCACTCCTCTTCCCAGCTCTGTGCTTGCCAACATTCCACACTCTGGGCTAATCAATCTGTTCCATACCTGCTTCCCTGTGTACAGTTTGGCCACTGGGATGAGCAGCCTCAGCAGCAGCTGCTCCTGCTCACTGGCCAGGTTGGTTTCAGCCAGGCCCAGCAGGCGAACGATGTCCATGAGCAGCAGGAATGCCCCTCTCACCTGCACCTGTGAGCAGAGGACAGCATCACTGGCAGGGGTCTTGGACTCTGCTGACTCCAGGGGTGAGATTGCCTCGGGGTAAAATGCCACCCCTGCCTGCTCAGACCCACAGCTTCAGGGACTCTGAGCAGTCAAGGCACAAAGTATGGAATATTAAAGGCTCTCTGCCACTCTTGGACACTATGATGCAGTAAAGGGGGAGTGCATTACATCAGGCCTACTTGAGCATTAACAAAGCTCCTAAAAGGCATCCAGGCTCCAAATCCACATGTTTTCAAAAGGTAATGGATGTGAGATGATGGTCAACCTCTGAGCACCAGCTACTGCAAAGTCTGTGACAGATTTCTTCCTGAGCAGCTTACTTCCCTGGCAAGTTTTGATTTGGGAAGCATCAGGGTACAGAGCTGTGTGTTGTGGGACAAGGTAGGGTCTGCCCTTCCATTCAGAGTGGGAGTTCTGCCACAGGCAATGAGATGCAGGAGCCTGAAGTCATGCTTGACAGATGCTGACCACCTTCCCCCACCTTGCAAGAGAATTTTTAAATACTGTTTACAGCCCATTTCCTGGGGCAGGAGCTCCCAGAGAAGTTGGATGAGCCCATACTAGTCATGGACAACAGTCAGGTGACTGTGGTGTCAGGCCTGGACTCTGAGGCAAACACCCAACTTCAGAGGTCATGGCTTATCATAGTAAGGGCACTCCTTTCTCTCAGAGAAACTCCCAGGTAATTGTTTAGGATAACTTGAAGTCCAGCAGAGGAGTTAGGTCTGTTATCAGATCAAATCCCACTATAGTAAAACAATTCCCTTGCTGCATCCACTTTGCTCTAGCAGGAATGGCCTCCTAAATCTGAGTGCAGGCAGGCTGGCTGTGCTCACTAACAGCTCAGGATCTCTGCCCTCTTTTCTTCCCACCAGGTCCAGCTTGGCTCCCAAAAGCCTCACCTCCATCCGGGCTATTGTCTGCACGTGCAGGGGATGGTCCTTGAGCAGCTTCCCGAAGGCCACGCGCTTGCGGGCGTAGTCCCTGCTCAGACTGATCATCCTGGAGGATGGGAACACACACAGGGAACAGTTACACCAGCAGCTTTCCACTTCTGAGCATTCCCTTCCAGTCCCCTCCACCATAAGAGCCCTGCTCAGCTGTACCACACCTGTAAAGGTCACCCACCCACAGGTCACCCTCCTCCTGCAGCACTGCTGGCTCCAGGCCTGTCCACAAAGGGGACACTTGGCTCAGTGCCATGCAAAGTGCTCTTGTCCTGCTCCTTCAGCCCTGGGGGGATCTGTGCTGCCTTCCTTCACCTTCTCATGGAAGCCACTGCACCAATGACGTTGTGGATCCGAGTGATGTTCAGCATGTTGGAGATGGCGGCCACTCCACGGCCCTCTGCAGAGATCTGCAAGGAGCAAGGGCTGACATGAGCCTTCCACACCCCTTGGGTAGGGATGGACATGGGAATGTGTCAACAGACACATGGACATGGCTGTCCACTCTGTCCCTGTCTGCCCTCAGGCACTCAGAGACCTGCTTGCTTTAAAATACATTTGTCTCATTTTAGCCAAGTCTGTGGTGTGATGTGGCTGCCCCATCCCTGGAAGTGTCACAGACCAGGCTGGATGGGACTTGGAGCAGCCTGGTCTGGTGGAAGGTGTCCCTGCCCATGGCAAGGGCAGGAATAAGATGAGCTTTAAGGTCCCTTCCAACCCATCCTATCCTGGGATTCTGTTTCTATGACCAGAGAAGTGGCTTTTGGAGACCGTGTCAGCATGATCAGTTCTGGTCCCTGCTGCTTGCTCCCACCTGCACACTACACAAACTGTCCCTCTGCTGGCTCAGGAACCAGGATTAGAGAAATGACCAGCCTAAAATAACTTTTTGTTATTGATGTTGTCTTCTCTCACATCTTTTCCTGAACCCTTCTCACCTCTGCCCCACACGGAGCCCCACCAGTGATTTGTTCTGTGATGTGGACAGCCAAGCCACAGAGGTGGAAGAGAGGAAGTTTTTTCAGTTGGGATCTCTGCTGAAAGCCCCAGGAGTGAGTGCCATGCCAGGGCAGCCCAGTCCCCAGGGCAGGGGAACTCTTACACACCAGCTCTGCTCTGGCTCCTTGCAGCCACAGCTCTGCTGTTGCCATCTGCCTCGTGCCCAGCTTGTCCTTCAGCCTTTGCACCTGGATGTTGTTCAGCTTCCCCTCCTCATTCCGAACCCTCAGGAAGAACAAGGACAGGCCTCTGGAGCCCTGGGTACACTGCAAGGCACAGAGAGGATTTTATTACAATGCAACAAGGAAGAAAAAGAATGCCCCTGCTCCTTCCCCAGCCAACAGAACTGGTTTACCTGTCCTTCAGCATCTGCTATCCTGGCCAGGGTTAATGCCATGTCAGAATCAGCTGCTGATGTGAACCACTTAAATCCATACAGACGATAGGTGCCATCCGGCTGCTTCCTGGCCACGGTCTCGGTGCCATTTGCTGAAAAACAAGAGAAAATTTCCTGGTCTTGTGGAAACTTCTGAGTCAATCAATGCTGATTTTACAGCATAAGCAGCAGCTCCTTTAGGGCACGATGAAGATGGAGCATGGGTGAGCTGTTAATCTCTTTCATTGACCCTCGATAAGAAATGCAGTGTGTATAATCCAGTTCTTCAGGAGTTACCTCAGCCAAGAACACAAAGGGTTCTGTGTGCACAAGAGGACAGAGACTGGGTCTTTTGTTGGTTAAAAAGCAGAGCTGTGCAGAGGATTTGGATGATTTCTGCTGAAGTCCTAAAGCTCCCTGGCTTGTTAGGTTCCCCACATCCTTTGTGTTCTGTTCTCACTGCCACACCTGCTCCCACCCCACAGCACGTACCGACATCGGAGCCACCCCTTCGCTCCGTCATCCACTGGCCAGAGGTCCAGAACTTCTCAGGGTCACGGGATGTCAGACGGTCAAAGGCATTTTTCAGAGGTTCAGGAATACCCAGTGACTGTTTGAGGGGAGAGAAAATAAACTGAGATGATCATAACACAAGAGTTGACATTATACAGTTGCCTTAACTGCTGTGTTCAGGGCTCAGCCAGGCCAGTCTGGAAGCCAGTGTCCTGCACTGCAGAGGATCTGCAGGTGCTGCTGAGAGCCTGGGAGCCAGCACAGCCCCCACCAGCTCCTGCAGCAGTGTGCAGACAGAAGGTGCAGAGCTGTGTTACAACACCAAGTGCTGACCATCCCTATCCCCTCAGATTTCTGGAGAGAGAGGTCTCAAACAGCCCATGTGCCAGGTTCATGTATGCTGGATGTCACCAGCACCCAGGGAGCTGCAGGGGAGAGGGAACTGCCTTGTGCTGCTTTAAGTTATTGTGAATTTAAATGCCCAGGGTTGGCTACCTAAGGGATATTTTCCTCTGAATCCTACATAGCCACTGAGGCAATGCAAAGGGGGTCACTAAGATGCAGAGCCAAATGTTCCAATTGGTAAAGTCTTGGTGGTTTGGTGAATTTATGTCAGGTATGGATCTGGCCTATTATATCTAACTGCCACTCCAGATAAATATGGGAAAACAAACTGTCTTGTAATAAAAATATATTCCTAAGATCATAGAAATACAGAATGGTTTGGGTTGCAAAGGATCTTAAAGCTTGCCCAGTGCCCCCCCTGCCATGGGCAGACACCTTCTACTATCCCAGGTTGCTCCAAGCCCTGTCCAACCTGGCCTTGGACACTTCCACTTGGGACACCTTTCCAGCTACCTGCAGTGCCACAGGTGCCATGTGCAGCAAAGGCCTTATTGAACATAGTGCTGTCAGTGAATATAAACGTTGGCATGGGCACAGAGGCTTTGTACCTCATGGAGAAAGGCGGTGGGAGACAAAGCTGAGTCACAGAGCAAGGAAGGGCTGTGCCCAGAACCAGATGGATCAGTGCTCCTCCATCCTTGGCTGGTGCTCCTGCCTCTAACCTGCAGTGCCAGGACGTGGGCTGTGCCCTCAGGGACCAGCCAAGCTCATACCTCAATGACTTTGGCTGCCCCATCAGTCATGGCCAGTGGACAGCTGAAACCTCCAGAGGAGCTCGAGAACAAGTACAGTTTGACAGCCTGGTACAGGCGGCTGGGAGAGGGAGAGACAGAGGGAAAACAGATGGGTTACACAGCAGTGCAACAGCACGAGGATAAAATACCTCAAGTGGGAAGAGAGGAAAAATTACAGCCAGCACCGGTGAGGATCAGACCACTCATTTCTGAGAGGGCAAAAAACTGTTCCAGCCAGGAAGAGGGAAGAAGAACAGCAGAGTTTCTCAGTCCCAGTGGGACAGCCAGCACTAGGCCAGCTTGTGCAGTTTTTAACAATAAGAATTGTGGGTCTGTCTCCATGGTCTGGAATACAAAACACCTGTGAGTGAAATCCCACATCTTCAGCTGCATTACAAGTAACACTCACAAAGCTGGAGTGGTTCAGGGAACTGCCAGGCCCCACAATCAGGAAGGTGACATCAAAGAATATTATGATCAAGTGTGGGCCATTAGTTATGGCTTATCATTGGTGAGGTGGAACATTGCAGTGGACAGACAGAGCTGCTGGGGACAGCAGGAGGTGTGCTGCTGTCCGTGCAGCATCTGCTACTGGTTACACAATCAGCTCAGTCCTGCAAAACGCTGAATAAACCTTGCTAAGAATAATCAGGAAGGCACTGAGTCATTCCCAATTTGCCCCAGTTACCTCCAGTTGGAGTATCTTTTCTCATAGGCCTCAGCAATCAGCCCTTCTTCTGCTGAAATCTCCTTCATCCTCCTCCACGCCGAGCAGGTGTGGATGTGATCCACGCGCCGCCCCCAGGCATCGAACTGCCGGAACACGGGGGGGTTCAGCTCACATTCCCAGCTCAGAGCCTGGATCTTGGTCAGCAGGCGGTTTCCAAACCTCTCCAGGTCCTGATGCACCTCCTCCAGGACCTGTGGAGCGGCAAGGAGAGCCCTTCAGCACATCCCAGCCTCAGTCCCAGCTGGAAGGGCAGAGGACTGATCACGCTGTCCTGCAGTGCCAGTGGTCTCCTGCCACTTGGCCCTTCCATGCATTCCATAACACAGCACGACAGCTCCCTCAGCCTCTGCTGGCACAGCTGTGCTCCGCTGTCACTTTTTCTCTATTTTCCCTCAAAATCACTTTTTCAAGTTACTTTTGGCAGCGTGTCTGGATTTCACAAAAGACAGAAGCACTTTAGTGTCAAGGCTGAGAATGACACAGATGCACACAAACAGGGGGGTTGGACGAGACGGTCTCCAGAGGTCCCTCAGCCACTCCAAGATTTACTGCTGGAGAAGAATGCCAGGGGAAAGGCTGCCAAAACTGGAATGCCTTCATCTGTACAGGAAAACTTCCACTGGGCTCAGCAGCTACCTGCCTGTCAGATTAGAAAAGGAGGGATGGAGCAGCCTTTTCAGCTTCAGCCTGGCACACAACATGTCTAGATTCAAATTCCCACCCTGCACCCAGGCATCTTTCCTGAAGGATCCCTCCTGAGGGATTCATGTGCCCTCGTTTCTGCTGGGCTTGGCTGACCTGCATGGAGTAATATGTCTGTAGTTAATGGAGGGGAACCAGCACTCACAGAGGAGTGATTGATTCCAACCCCCTCAGATCCCTATTTCAGGGTGACAGGAATTGCCTTTTGCAAGTTCTCCTCCATGTCTAGGAGTAAAGCCAAGTGAGGTTACCCAGATTTAAAAAACCTGAATATTAGATGACTAAAATCAGGCAAGGAGGACCCAGCCTCCAGCCCTGTTGGACCTCATTGGCCTAAACACATCCAAGACTGTTGGGGGTCAAAGAATCACCTGATATGCTTCCATGAGAGGAATATTTTTTGCTGTTCTCTGCCTCTCAAGAGATGCTCATTCCCTCCTCAATAAAATAATAAAGGAGGTGAATGCCATAATTGCTGCACCCAAAATCATGCAATTATAAACCCTGTTAATTTCCTGTTGATGAAATACAAACATGGCTTTTTCCTTTCCCTGCCTGTTCCTGTATTGACCTTTCATTCATCTACACCCTGTGTGATTGATTCCTTCCTCCCTCTGCCACTCCATGTGTGTGATGAGGATCAAACACACATTCTCCAGGTGCCACTCTGGAAGTCTCCATCCTCAGACCAGCCAGTTTTCCTTCAGCAGAACAACAAAACAGTGTTAAAAATCACAAAACAAGCCAAAAACCATGCAGGAGAGCCTGTCAGCTGCTCCAGCTCATGTCACTCCCATATTTGCCATGGGCATGCACCTCTAATCTTTATCACTGTTTGACAATAATTTGAAGGTTGTTTCCGAGGCATAACCCAGGAATCCAAAGTTCATGGACTTTGCTGAAGCATAAGACTCTTTGAACTGCTGACCTGATGGGTTTTTGCAGGCAGAAGAACATGAGTCTGCCAAGCAGATCTCTTGGTCTGGGTTCCTACAAGGAATTCATACAACAATCCCTTCACCATCGTCCATATTTCCTAAAACCTCCCCACTGCTTCACTGGGAGCTCATGCCCTGACCACACACAGCCTGCCAAACCACCAAATTACCCAAAAAAATGTGTTTATTTCCAAGGTGAAGGAACAAAATCAAAACTCCTACACTTGTGACTCCTGAATGTCGCACACAGCAGCCTCAGTGTTCCAAAGAAAGGACACTGGGATGTGGAGAGGACAAAAACATTTGGGTCAGGGCTGAGGCTGCTGGGTGGTCTCGTTCACTCTGATCTGTCCTTTGATGTCCCAAGCATGAAGATATGGGAAATGTGCAAATTAATGCACATTAGGAGTGCCAATAGATATCCTTTATATTAAAGGATGTATTTTCAGGGCAGCAAAGCCTGACAGATCCCTCTTCACAACAACACCCAGAAAAAGCAGATGCTTAATTCAGTCTTCTCCTTAAATCACCTTCAAATAGAGAAAGAAAATTTTTGTGCCAGTTCAGGAAAATTTCTGTGTTTGACATGGAGTAGCACAACAGGAGTCAGCCTCCAGCTTCGGTGGGACACCCAAAGCTTCAGGGGTTGCTGCTGTCCTAGAGAGGAAGGTGTTCCCATGGAGAGCAGGCTCAGTGCTGCAGGCAGCAGCCCAGGCTCTCCTTTCCTGCAGTGAGGCAACACTGCCCCGCTGGGCCTGAGTGAAGAAATGAAAGGAAAATCTGCTCCCGGTTCTCTGGGAGATTTTGGAGGAAGGAGAGGAAGCAGCCTCGTTGTTCTGATCCTTTTATTCTTTAGGGGACCTGAATCATGCTTCTTCCAAAGGTGCAGATTAGGAGCAGGACCTTCATGGTTACCCAAAGGCATCCTCCTTTCCTGTCTTCTCTTCTGCCAAGAAGGCCACGGTGGTGCTTAGGGAGGCCTCATTCCTCTCTTTTGGGATGGCTGTGACAAGCTCCCAGCACTGCCACCTCACTCTTCCCACACTGTGTCTGCCAGGCCTCACAGACCTGGAGAGCAAGCAGGGGAAGTGGGAGCCTCACTGAAAGCCAGGTCCCCTCCCCTCTGATCATCTGGTGGCTTTAGGAGTCATGGCATTGCTTCTGCTGGAATAAATCACGGAGAGAGGTCACACTCTGCTCCATGAAAACTGCTCCCTGAAAAGTGGAAAGCAGCTGTGGCCCTTGGGGTGATGGCAGAGGCCAGGCAGAGAGGTGAGCCTCCTCCCAGGGGTTCCTGTAGGACTGGAGCTCACAGCACAGACACCCAGAGCTTGGGGCCTCACCCCCTCATCTGCGCCCCTGCCATCCATACAGAGCCTTTCCTGGCTGAAAAAATGAACCCAGAAATGCCACCAACCTGTGCTGGGAGCAAGCAAACCCCAAGAGGCCTTTCCACCTTCTTAAATTCTTGGCAGAGAACAGCCCCAGTCCTTAGGAATTTTCTTTAAAATCCCTCTTTCCCCAGGAAGAGAGGTGGAGGAACAAAGCAGAGTTTACAAGCATCTCAGTCTGATTCCTCTCTCAGAAATTCCTTTCTCTACATGACCAGACAACAAATGCCTGCACTGACAATCCCAAAACAGCACTGTAACACCCAGCCCAGTCCCAGGAGCCCACTGAGCCACTTGCTGTGTGTGTCCTGGCAGTGTTTGTCACCCCTGCCCTCAAACACTACAGGTTTTAAGGAATGCTGATAAATTCCCTCCAGTTAAACACTCAAAGGCACAAAAAGGCTCAGACAAATGTTCAATTCAGAGTCTGAAGCAGCGACTTGGCAGAGTCGTAGTGGGTACACACAGGAGCGCAAACTGACCTTGGGAGGAAGGTGTGTTTTCAAGTAACTCCGTAGCAAAGTGTCTTCCAAGTACTGGTTCCCAGGCTCAGGCTGCTCTTGGAAGAGGCCCTCTGTGTCTCTCCTTGCGAGGTGCATTTCCGAATCTTCTAACACTTGTTTTTCCTTCATGCCGGCCTGTTGCTCCTGCCCCACAGTCGTGTTGATTCCTTTAATAGTCAGCATTTGGCAGCTGCCCCAAGGCAGAAAGTGACCTGATTGCCACGACTTGCAGGTGACACTGGATCTCCACCAGGGCAAGCGACAGGCAAACATGATCCAGCACGGCCCTGGGGGTCACGCCTACAGCTCTCACTTGCAGACACCCTTCCTCGCCCGACAGCAGCACAGTCCTGGTGTGTTTGTGTGTTGTGAAATTATTCTTGTAAAATCAATGAGGTCTTCTCTCCTCCCTCAGGGAGGAGCTTTCCAGCAGCTGTTGTTAACTGAACTAGGGAAAAGGTCTTGGGAAAGAGATCAGAAAACGGTCTGGAAAAACACAAGTGTGTTTGTTGTCCTATCAGCTGGGCAAACCATCATAACTGGACAGACTGGCATTTCCAGAGCTGGGGGACGAGCATCCCCCTGAATTGCTTGGAGTAGAGATGAAAAGGAAAAAATATGTTTCCTTATCTGAAGGATAACAAATTGCCTGGAGATGGGAAGAATTGGTTTAGGCAGATTATTCTGTAAATAAGATGCAAGTGAAACAGAACCCAACTTCCTTGCCTAGATTATGACACTGGCTCCAAAACACTCTGCTCTTTGTGAAGTCCCTGATGCCTTTGAGTTGGGATGATACCAAGTCTCCCTCTCCCTAGAAAAGTATCAGAGTATTCTAAGAATGTGGATTTGAGTAACTTCAAACTGCACCTCCTTTGGGGTTATATGCTGCTAATAAACCCAGTATTTTACTATAAAGTGATTTTAAACAAGTATGATACCACACTACTGCCCCTGCCATGGTTGTGCTTTTGCAGGACTTTGTCCTGCCCGAATTCCTGGGACAGGGCAGCAGGGATAGGGACGGGAGCAGATACAGAAGCAAGGACAGAGACAGAGACATGGGCAGGGACGGAGATAGGGACAGACAAAGGGGCAGAGCAAGGGTAGGCATAGCCATGTGAACGGGAACAGGTGACAAGCCGCGAACAGGGGCAGGTGCAGGGCAGGGTCAAGCCTCCGCCTCAAGGCTTGGGCCGCCGCCGCCGCCTCCCGCCCTCAGCACCGCCCACGCCCGGGGCTCCGGCGGCGCCGTGGTCGAAGGAGCCCGCGGAGGGCGGTACAGGGGTGGGCGGTACAGGTAGGGGAACTGCCCGGCCGGACTGGGGCGGGACAAGGCTGTGCTTTAGGGGAGCCCTCAGCGCCCTAAGGTCTCCCGTGCCCCAGGAGGGCCCCCCATTGTCCTTTAGGGGCTCCTCAGGGAGCTCCTTACGGGGCGCCTCAGGGGGTCTGGAGCTCCTGAGGGACCCCTCAGGGCCTGAGGTCCGCCCGTGCCTCACAGCGCCTCAACAGCGCTTCCCAGCGCCTCAGGGGAGCTCCACGCACCTCGGGGACCCCCAAGTACCTCCGGGAGCCGCTCCCCGCGGGAGCCCCTCTCTGCTCTGGGGCTTTCCCGCGCCTCAGCGCTCCCTTAGCGCTCCCTCAGCGCCTCGCGGCTCCCGCGCCTCAGCCCCGCCGCCCGCTCGGGCCTCAGGGGTTCCTCACGGTGCTGCTGTGTGAGGGGCATGATCCAGCCCCGTGTCCACCGCGGCCGGGCCTGGGCTTCCGCTCATAAAACCCCTCAGGAACCTCTCAAAAAAAAAATGAGTAAAACCCATCTTCGGAGCCATGGCTGCTTTTTTAAGGGCTGTGGTTCCTCACCTTTGCAACATCAGGCACAAGGGGCAGAGTGAGGGGTGCGGGGCTGAGGGTGTCAGGGAGCAGTGGGTTCCTAAGGATGCAATTTGTCTTTTCCCTTTCAGTACTAATTTACTGATATTCAGTGATAAGGTGGCTGCAGAGTGGGAGAGCGTTGGAGTTCCAGGGCAAGTTCTGTCCTTCCAGTCCTGGTGAGACACTGATGCCAAAGTCTTGTACCTTGTACCTGAACAGCTGGGCTGTAATGGGTCAGCTTGGTCTGGGTGATGTTTCCTCCTCAGAAAGTCAATATAAATGTTGTATGGTTTATAAAACATGTTTTCTTACATCTTTGTCTCATCTAAATCAGCTTTATTTAGTTAATAACCTCATGTTGTAATTACAACACCTTTGTCTGCTTTGATTGCATTCCAGTCCTGCTCACAGTGCCCAGGTAAAAAAAAAGCAAACTACTTTGCTAAAATATTTAACACGTTAAAAATTTTGCAGGTGTGTATTTGTTTAAATATACTTTTATAGCTGTAATCTGTCCTCATTACTAAATGAAGTGCTAAATTTAGCATAAAAGCTGTCACCGTGTTCTGATCAACATGTCTTAATGACTGCCAACAAATGGAAACGTGGCTTCCACAGGAGGAAAAAAAGAAAACGCACAAAAGGTGCAAATGCAGAACAAGGCTTGATCAGCTGAGTTAATAAAAGGCTGCATTAGGTCAGGAGTTAAATCACCCTGCCGTGTTTGTGCTATTACTTTAATCCTTACTGGGGAATTTGAGTAGCTGCGGACACAGCACCGTCCCTCTGGGACCTGTTGGTGGTGTTTCCTTTCATTAACATCCCCCATTTGCAATGAGATGTGGAGATCTCCCAGCAAGTCATTTTTCAAACTAGTTAGCACAGGCCTTGTTAATTCCAGCTAATGGAAGTTTTTAATCAGGATTGTCAGATGGTGCTAAATCAAGCAACTCACTCAAGTGAGAAACATGGAATATCCAGTGTTATTGCCTGTACCAATCAGCTCTCCATTCTGGTAAAATAAGTATTTTCCTCTTCAATCCAGGTTTATCTATCTGAAACAATTGGGACTCTCCCTTTTTTTTTTTACCTTTCAAGGTGTCCCAGAAGAATCATTCCCTTATTCTGGCCAAGACCGATGTTAGCACGTTTCCTGCTTACCCTTGCTAAGATATTAACTGCTATTGGCAGACCTCCAGTTCTTTCACATTCCCCCTTCACACTTTCTAATGGTTGTAGGAATTAACATTTGTGGTTTGGAATATGAGAAATGCATTCTGAAGTGGCACCGACTGACACCAGGTGCACTTGTGGCCCTGAATTTCAAATACTATTGATTGTTTACCAGTGAGCAGGAGTTTTCATGCTCTGCAGGCTCAGTGCCATGGAGTACTCTTGATTTACTTTGCTTTACCTGTCCTTCCTGGCAATTAGCTTTCAAACTCTGAGGAATTTCATTCTTACTTTAACATAGATGAGAAATAGCAGTAACTGTGCTTTCTACGTGTCTCATGCCTTTTTTTTTTTCAGGGTTTAGTTACAAGTGGAAGGCAGGTCTTTGAAACACAGGATGGCTGCTCAGCAGCTACTCAAGCAAAAGAACAAGCCCTCTAAGGTAAAAAATTAAAATATGGTGGTGCAGACAATCTTAGCTTTCGGTTTGGGACCTGGCACGCCTGTGCCTGCGGAGGCAGGAAACCTTCCTGTTGTCTGCACTGTTCTTAGTTGGATTCATTCCAATTCAGTGAGAGGCAGTGTGGGGCTCTGGCATGATTTGACTCAATAAATGTAGGCTCATTAGGTGTGCACAGAGCTTTATTAGCAGGAAGAACAGCAATAAAGTAATAGAAGAACTAAATTTAGTGCAGTGTCCACTGCATTGTTCGTGGTGGCATCACGCAGCGTGTATTTACTGTAGCTCCAGGTGCTGTTTTACAGCTTGGAGTTAAAATCACTCTGTTGGCAACTCAGGCTGCTGTCAGAGCTCAAACCAGCAGCCTTTGGTACAGCAGTGGCTGCCACACCAGCCCTGGGCTTGTGTGACTCCACAATTAAAACTGCACACCTTTTTTGAGGGGTGGCTCTCTGTTAGGTGCCAGCATTGGTGCAGTGGAGGGGGTGGGAATGTGATAAAGGAGAGGGCACATCCAACCAGTGCACTCTGCATCTGGGTAATGATGTCAGATCTACTGAACTCTGCCCTTAAATCATTTAATCCACCCACCTCACACACGAGTCTTCCCTACCTAGCTTAAACACCAGAGAAACCTTAAAATTTCATGTTATATTTCGAAGTTACCCTCTTCCCACCTGCTGGGACTTGTTTCTAAATATAATCTGTGTTACACTTAAGAAGGTGCTATTTCTGGCCTTGGCTTGCTTTTGCAGGAGGCAGTGCTGTTCCCTGAGAGCATCAGCACAGAGCAGCAGTCCCTGGTGCTGGTGAAAAGGCTCCTGGCCATCTCTGTGTCCTGCATAACCTACATGAGGGGGCTGTTCCCAGAGAGCTCCTATGGCACTCGCTATCTGGATGGTAACACCTGCACTTTGTGCTGAGGGCTTCTTTCTACTCACTGCATTTTATCTATCATCTTTTACCTATAATCTGCCTTATGTGTTATCTTCTGGCTGCACATGTGGGTGACTTCACTTTGGGTGGGGGTTGGCTACAGATTCTCACATCTTCTCAAGTCTGGGTGCAGACAGAATTTCTGACAGAGAGCATGGAACCCTGAGCTCCCAGCTTCTCTGTTGGTGTTCTCTTGGTTTAGAGTCATTCCTTGGCATTGCCAGCCCCATGAATCAGGTCTCAGAGCCAGGAGAGTGACTTAAAACACAGAAAGTCTTAAAATTTACTCTTATTGGAATGTTTTAATTTCTTTTGGATTTTTGAACCCATGAGGTTCACATTTCAAATTTTCATTGGGAGGCTGAAATTAGATTGGTCCATTTTCATAGAATTGTGTAGTGGTTTGGGTTGGATGGGACCTTTTAAAGGCCATTAAGTCCAACCCTCTGCCATGGACAGGTTCACCTTCCAGTAAACCAGGTTGCTCCAAGCCCCATCCAACCTGACCTTGAATATTTCCAGAAATGGAGCATCCACCTTTTCTGTGGGCAACCTGTGCTAGTGTTTTACCACCCTCATTATAAAATCCTGACTTACATCTAATCTAAATCATCCCTCCTTCAGTGTAAAACTGTTTCATTGTTGGGATTTGGGGTTTATTTCCGTGAAAACTATCTCATATGTGCTTTGGGAATCAGAACTTTTTAAGGAAAAAAAAGAACTTTGAGAACCAAACTCTTGTCACATGATTCCAAGAATTAGTGATGCTTTGATTCATGAACATCTTTATGATCATTCAAGGTGTGAAATGTCCCCATGCATTCCAGTCCATTTCTGTGTTGTCCCTTATGGCATTAGTTGCCCTGAAACATGTTCACATGAACTTTGTAGATTTGGTTGAGGGCACAGAAATCCCAAATTCGTTCTTGATCCCCTAACCCTGAAAAGCCACTGGTCAAATGGTCAGGTCTGTCTAGTGCCTCTTTGATGAGGAGTGTTAACATCTGGCCTGCTCACATCTTCCAGGGCCCCTTGGTTGAATCCTAAGGTGTTATTAATGCCCCTTTTCACCTGTAGGACAGGTGTCCCTTTTGCCATTCTGAATGCCTGGAAGCACAGGTAGAAGGAGCTGTGTGGAAAAGCTTCACAGAAAGTTTATTGTGAGCCCAGTCCTTGAGACATTGCTTCACATGGATGCTGATCAAGTCTGAATGCAGAAGGGAAGGTGTTAGGGAATGCTCAAGGGTGGAGGGAGGAGAGGATGAAGCTGCTGGTGTAATAAAGCTGTAACACCGTCCCTTCTTCTGGGAGATCCCAGGGCTTGTGAGGAAAGCTCTGACATTTGCAAACCCAGCAATAAGCTTGTGTCAGCCCACCTGAGACTTGGTGGAAATCCAACATTTCCGCTCAGGAAGGACCTTCAGATAAAGCTTTTACCCAAAAAAGGGAGGATGGACTGGCTTAGTTTCAGTGTTTGCCCAAGAACTGTGATAAGGATTGTAACTATGTGCTAAATCTGGTTTTGCAGACCTCTGTCTAAAAATTCTCCGAGAAGATAAAAGCTGTCTGGGATCATTGCAGATAGTCAAGTGGTAAGTGAGTAACAGCGAAACCAAGACAAGATTGTGCTGAGTAGGAGACATCTGCCCCTGCAGTCTTCTTCTTCCTGAACTGGAAAACATCGTGCCCTGGTGCCAGGGGAGCTCCCACTGCAGCTGGGGGTGCTTGGCCCCTGTGTAAGCAGGACAGAATTAGTGACTGAGGTCATGTGAGTTCGAGGGCTGTGGAAGTGATGGCTGCAGTGAGGTCATGGTCAGGCCCCAGAGCACATGTGGCAGCAGAGGTGCAGAGAGAGGCTAAAGACTGTCATGAGATCCTTTCTGTTGTGTTTAATTTTTTCTAGTTTCACTTTGATAGGGATTCTTGCACTTGTTTTTCAGTATGTACAATATTTTATCTCCCTCTCTAAGAACCTCACAGTTTTCTTCAGGATGTATTTCACAGTTGGCATGTTCCCAACAAGCAGAAAAACTGTCCCTGATGTGCTAGGGAGATACCTGCTGCACATCCTTTGACTCCCAAGAGTAAATATCTGGCCATTGATGCTTCAAATAATATTTACTACTTTGAGAAAATCCATTGCTGTAAACTCTGCATCAGATAACCAAGATTTACAAGACCAGACATGTTCAGATTGAGCCTAGCTCTGTACAAGGCTGATGGGAAAAGAGCCATCAAAGCTCTGGCTGGGGAGCTGGAACAGAGCACAGAGCAGGAACACTCAGAGCCAGCCTTTGGCCTCCAATCCTTGTCTTTGTCAGGATTCAAGCAGGCTCTGGGCTGACAGGATAATGCCCCAGAAGTGTAAACAGTGCACAGATGCAGAAAGGAAAATGCTGCCTTTGGGACTGACCTGAAAAGGACTTCACAAGTCTCAAATGTTGTTGGTTGTGTTGACCTAATTCCAGAAAAAATGCCCTTTAACCCACATCTAATGAGTATGTTTACAGATCAGGAGATAAATATTGCTGGTTAGTATTAACATGTTTTGGTTTTTTCCCTGGCAGGATTCAAGGTTGTTTTGATGCTTTGGAGAAGCAGTATGTAAGTGGTTTTTTTCACTTTTTATTAGAGTGTCCTATTTCTTCATAAAGTAAGGACAAAACTTTCCTTCCATTCCTGCTGTATTTCTGTTGTGATCTTTGATGCACCCAACAACCTTTACAGCTGTGGGACAGGGGAAAGACCCTGCCCTGAGTATGAGATTTGGGATTTTATGCCTTGAGCTCAAATCCTGTCCACTTTCTCTGGCCTCTCCTGGCTCTCCATGGTGTGGGAACCAATTTGCAGCCTGCAATGGATTTTCCTTAATTCTGTGCTCTACATTTGTGTTCTCAGTTTGATAGAGGTCCTGCCAGGCAGAGCTGAGATCTGGATCTCCTTCCTGGTTTTGTTTTCTTCAGAGAGGTTCTGTGCTTCTGCTGTCCTTCATCTCCTTTTCCCTAATCTTTCCCCTTCATCTCATGTTCTATAACCCTCCTGGCTTTTCTCTCAGGCTCAGAATTTATCCCTTTTTTCCCCCCTTAATTCACCAAATAAGGTGTGTAACTGCTTCCATGACAAAACCAGCTAGCAAGTTCTCCTATTCCTTGCTGATTTTCACATCAAAACTGCCCTGCACAGGAAAAAGCACCAATTGCTGTGCTCTGTGTCTGCACTGCTCACCAGCCCAGCTCCTCCAGGCCAGGTGGAGCACTGGTTGTTCTGACACTGGTTGATCTGAGTGTTCCTCAGACATCAGTGCAACTGTCAGTGTGCACAATAATTAACAGTGTTGTGAACAGTTTACTGCTTGCTGACAGCTCTAGGAGGTATTTAGCCCTTTGTTATTCATGAGAGACATAAATTAATTGTTTGACAAGGATTAAGGAAAAACTGAGGGATTTAATGCATGTTATAAGATTGTTTTTAAGGGCAGTCCCATGTGCAATTCCTTGATAGAGCATAAATTAAATACCTTTGGGGAATTTCCTAGCAGAAAGCAAATATTATCCCTTGAGTAGGGATGGGTGCTCTTGTGAAGAGTTTTAAACCAGTATTTGGGGATTTGTTTGAAAGGAGTCCCAAGGGGGATTACTGAGCATGGAGTTGTTTTTTGGGAAACTGCATCAAGCCAGGCAAACCGGCCACTAGGTGTTGCTGATGCTGTGCTGGGAAGAATCTGCAAAAAGGGTTTTAACTCCTGGTTTGTTGAGTGTATTTATTCCTTCTCCCTGTGTAGGCAGTCGGGGTTTGATAGGAATTGCTTTTCCTTGCCCGCTAAGGTTAGATGTTGATTTTGTGTTTTGTTTTGGTTTTCTCTCCTTAGCTACACGTGGCTGTCCTTGCAGTAAGTAAATGAATACAAAGTGGTTTTCTCTCCCCTCCCCTGCTTGAAAGAGATACAGAGTCAAGGTTGTGTCAACCCATTTGTGCCTTTTTTAAAGAGAGGCCAAAATGTGTGTGATTTTTAATAGAGCTGTGACCTTTCTTAGATACAGTAAATGTAGAGTTCAAGGCTGCATGGAAATGTTTTGCTCAGCATGTCAGACTTCTGACTGAGGCCTTATTTGTCTCCTTAAACTCTGAGAGTGATTCCTATCATGGAAGCTGCCATGTGCTCTCCATTTCCCCCTGCAGAGGGATCCTCTTTATTAATCTGATCCTGGAGAAACCACACACTGGTGGTTCTCACTGTTGGCCCCAGCCCCCTGCAAAGCACCAGGAGCTTTGCTCACCATCTACCCTGTGCATCATCTGAGCAGTTAAATCCCAGGCATCAATAGCTGCCTGTGAGGGCTGGAATGGGAATTAACCTCATTCCTCCAGTATTGCACACATGAGTGTCTTCACCTGTCTTTGAAGTATTGACTGCAGATAGAGGAAGGCTCTTTCCCAGCCATTCCTTTCTCTGATCCCACACTAAAGATAGCACAGTCTCTGCTGTAAACTGAAAAATCCTTGTTAGTCACTGGTTCAAGTTGTCCCAGGGAGAATGTCCTCACTGTGCTTTCTTGTAACAGATTTACATCAATCCCGAGGTAAGAAAGAGTCTTAATTAATCTTTGAGGCAGCTGAAGACATGGGTGAGTACATTTGTATTCAGAGTGGAGTGGAGGCTTAAGTCCTACCCTGACATAGCTCCTTGGTGACCCCATTTCTGTTCCTGTGCCTTCAGTCCCGAGTGCCAGCTCAGTGAGCTGCACTGTGATCAAACACCCGGCTGAGGGCCCACCAGGGCCTCAGGCAGGGATGTTAGCAGATAACTAATGGGCATGTTCACAGTTTTGTTTTCTTTCCCAAAGACAAAAAATGGGAAATTCAACATTACTCATTTGCAAACCACCTTTTTAACAGCCTTGATGAAAAGAGCTGGTTTTTCATGCAGAGAGGTGTAGGACAGAAGTCAGGAATCCCTTCAGACCTGCGTGGGTGTGTTGGGTAGTGCCTGGCCTCGGCCTCTCCATGTTCCCTGTTGTGTTTCTGTTTGGTTTCACCTGGGGGTGTGATCCAGGAGTGAGGGTCTGCATCCACTCTGGGGACAGAGAACAGTTTCAGACCCTTTGCACCTGGTTCCAGTTCTGCTGGTTCCAGAACTGGTTCCAGTTCTGCTGTGTGGCACCTCAGAGTCTGGGGACAGAGCAGGAGCTGAGCTATGCCAAGGCTGGATTTGCAAGGAAAGCTCCGAGTTAAGAGTCCAGCTGAGCTCCTACTAATCGACCTCATTGTCTCTGGAAAAAGTGAATTATAGGCATGGAATTGGTGTACAATAGACCCTTTCTCATGGGGGGAAGCTGTCTGTTCTTCCTAATTGTTTTATTCTTTAATTCTTTTAAATGGAAAATCATCCACTATTTTTGTCTACCTCAAAAAGAATCCGAGACCAGTGAAGTTCAGCTATTTCCCATGCAATATTGTTTGGATTTCCCTGTGGGAAGAGTCCTCCAGGCCCTTGTCCCCATTCAGAGCATGGGGCCAGGCTTCCTTGTGGCACTGGTCACCTGTGCAGCTTCCCAGTTTTCCTTTAGCAAGGGTCACTGGGAGGACTGGCCAGCCCTGGAGCCTTGCTAGAGACTGAAGCAGGAGAGCCAGGCCCACAGAGGAAGTGGAAGGAGGAGGCAGGAAGTTTGTAATTTTGTTGTGATTCTTTCAGTGCTAGGTAAGATGTAGCTGTTAAGAGAATTTGCCAAAGCCTGTGCAAGCAATAATAGAGTTAAAATTGTCAGCATGTCAGATTAATTCTGTGCTCTGGCAGAGAGTATGAAAGGACTCTCCAAGCTCAGGACACATCTTGTTTCTCAAAGTGATCCATTTCTGCTTCTCTCTCTTGTTACATCTCTAGACAGTCACTGAAATGTATCAATTCAAATTCAAGTACAAAAACAAGGTGCCCCAGATGGACATCAGCAGGTAAGGATTTCAGTTGATTTCTCAGGGTTACACTAAAAACTGTGTTCTTGAAGCATTAAGAAGCTGCACTTTATGATTGCCCAGAGAGGTTGTGGACTCCCCATCCCTGAAAGTCCTTAACCTTAACCCTAACCCTAGGGTCCAATCCTTGTCCAAAGCAAGGTTGGGTGGAGGAACATGGTTTACTGGAAGGTGTCTGTGCAGATAACAGGGTGGGGAGCAACGTGAGCTTTAAAGTCATTCCAACCCAAAGCATCCTGTGATTCTGTGTTTGAGCAGGTCCAAGTCATTAAGCAGCTGTAAATCCCATCAGAGTTGAGGATATTCACCTTACAGGGTATGAACTGCTGGGAGAATGAGCTGAAATGCTCCTTCACAGCACCACGAGGCCCTCAGAGCACACCTGAGCCAAGGACAGTTGACAGGAGTGGTGCCTCATCAGGGAAGCCATGCAGAAACCAGCCCAGTTGCTGAGCTTGCTGCTGTCTCAGCTAACAACAAGTGTTCTTGCACTGCCACCAGGCAGCCTTGTGCTTTCAGATGAAACCGGCTCAGGTTTGAGCCCTTTCACCATGATCCTGTGCCCCAGATTTTTTTCCCTTGAGCATTTGCATACGTGTGTTCTGCTTGAGCAGCCCTGCGTGGGTGACCTGAGAGAACTTTCACTTAGGCTGCCTGAGCTGATGGTGCAAAATATGTGGCAGAAAGTAGCAGCTTTTTGCCTCTTTTTGGCACTCTCTGTTAGGTGTTTAAAGCTGTGTTTAGTAGGCCATAATCCTGTGGAGCTTCAAATAAATGCTATCAAAGGCCATTTACTATAACCAAAGCAAAAAAAATTAATTAACCTGTTTTTAATTTGTTCTGCAGTTGGCACTGGTGAAAGATGGATCTTGGAACCTGCCTGGACAGCAAGAGAGCTCTGCTGTCTTGTGTGCTCCTTAGGAAGCTCCTCCCTAACACTCCTGGAGTGTGCCCTTAACTGCTCTTTCTCTAAACACGTGCAAATAATCTTTAACCATAAGGCAAAATTATTTTCTTTTGGGCAAATCTGTATTATCTCTGGAATGACTTTTTGGCTGTGCCCTCCATTTCTGCTTCCAAGCTGCTGTCCAGTGTCTGGACAGCACACACAGGGGAAGAGGAGATCTGGTATGTGAAGGATAATAGATAGTCCTTGAGTACTTTGGGGTTTTAATCAGCCTTACCCATTAATTCCTAGAAATAAGGACAGTCCCCACATGGAGCTTGGGTGTCCTTTCTGTCATCCAGGGAGAGGCCAAGCCATCTTCCTGTCATGCTTGAATGTGCTCTGAGGCTCCAGAGCCTGTGGCCCTGGATTCCTGGGCTGTGTTTCTGTGGGGATTGGCAGTGCTGTGGCAGGCTCAGGCGTGTCCCTGCAGTCTTTAATAATCCAGAGTTCTGGAACAGATCAGGGAATTGTGTCATCTTTGCTATCAGCTCCTTCAGCTGATAATGCTGCCTTTTACACCTGCAGCAGCTGTCCTGTGCAAACTCGGAGTTAATCACTCTGGGAGAGAGGTTTTGTGAGGCTGCAGCATCACAACCAAGGGCTAAGGGGAAACTTTCTCCTAAATGGTCCTTGCCTTATTCTAAACAGATTTTGGGGGACTTCCTTGCCACAGATCCCACTCCTTCCAAGGTTCTGTTCCTTATCTTCTGCTTTTGGACTCCCTCCTGCATCACATTGTCTTTATGTTATTCCCATATTGAAGTAGTGCTTGACCTGTTAATGCTGTTAATTCCTATGGACATCTCATTTCTTTTTTCCTTATGAACTTTCCTTTTGCCATTTCTGATCTGCTAATCTCACAGTTTGTAATGGTGATGGATATTCCACCTTAGGCACTGCCTGCATTTTCCTCTCACTGTATGTTTCTGAGCATGCAGGATTTAATCAAGGACCACAGTGCACATCTAATACCACAGAGTTTGGACTTCATGATCTTAGAGGTCTTTTCCAACCTAAATGATGCTGTGATTCCACACCTTGGGGATTCAAGCTGTTCCACAACCACCCCATTTTCATGACCCAAAGAAGTTCAGTTGGAAGGGGGAATTGATCTTAATTTGCTCCTTTCTGAGGGTCAGTCAGGCAGCTTTGCTCTGGGATATTCATGGGTTACTTTTTTACTGCTTTTGATGCAATTTGGGGTGATTGTGTTGGGCACCCTCCAGCCTACACACAGTGTCAGGGGTCTTCCAAAGGAGTTACACATCTTTGTGACCCCTTCTCATTGAAAGTTAGGGAAGTTCAGGTCCCTTAGTCACACAGTGATTCATCTGCTTGTCTGAAGTTGGCTGGCTGCTCTGAGTTGCTCATCTCATCTACCTCAGTTTTAATCAAAGAGAAACAAACTCCTCTGGAGTGCCATTCATCCCACTCATGTCACCCATGGGTCTCTGTCTGGACTGCTGGCTTGGAGCAGCCAGCTGACATTTGGATGGGTGAAGGAGGTGAGGGGAATGCCCCTTTGTCACTGCTGAAAAATGTGCCTCTGAGCTGCTTTTTCTTACATGGAATTGAGTGAGAACATGCAATTCACTTCTCTTCAAAAACTGCAGAATGGACTTGAAAATAGCCCCTGTGATGAATCGCCTTTAGATGGGATCCTCAACTCATTCCTCTCATTCCTGAAATTGCTTAGGTGAAAGGCACTTGTTTTATGGTCCTTTGATCCAATTTAATCATGTTCAAACAAGTGAGTCATGACATTTGTATAATGGTTGCCCCAGCTCCAAAGTCTGTTCAAATGTAAATGCCAGGCCTCTGAGTTTGGAGCGGGTGTTCTGCGGATGCCACCCCATCCCTGGAGCCTGTTTCACTTCCCTGTTTATCTGGAAATTACATAAAGACATTGTAGCTTTGTCACTGGTGGTTTCAGACAAGTCAGTGGGTGCTCTGTGTGTGTAATTGGATCGTGAATATTCATGACTGAGGATAACAAATCCATTATTCTTCTTCGGATTGCAGCAACCACAGGGAGTTTGTGGCTGGGCTGTGCAGCAAGGATGTCAAACGTGCCAGCAGGCTCCTGCTCAGGACCCTGTACCTGCTCATGCAGGACCTGGGGCCACTGCCCAATGACATCACCCTGAGCATGAAACTCCTCTACTACAACCACGGTAGGGGAGAGCAGGGTGTGCCTTGGGGAAGAGTTCCATCAGTCTCTGTAATAAGTGTGAGCTCTGGGAATAAAATAAAGCATAGAAAAGCTGAGATGGGAGAAGCTGTTGGCTGGCAGCACTGAGAAATGGTGTAACACAGTAAATCTTTCTGATGCACAGGGATGGCAAATGTTTTTAGGAAAGGTTTAAAATCCATATAAGAAGTACAGCTATGTGGTGTGAAAGGGAAAAATCCTTCTTCCCTGGTTGTTTTGTTTTGTTTTTTGGGGTTTGTTTTGTTTTGGTTTGGTTTTTTTTGAGTTTGTTTCCTTAAGGAACAAGCAATGTCACGTTCTGCTCCAGCACTTTAATGGTATCTCAGCATCCTAAAGAAATTTTTTCTTTGAGCTCCCTGATAACATTTGCTCAGCTAATTTTACCCTTTGCATTCTGTCCCTTCCTCCTAAAAAAACCCAAAAAAACTGGAATATTTTTAGTAGTTGATGGTACTCGAAGTTGGTTCATACCTGCTCTTTCTAAATCAGACTGAGGAGAGATGGAACTCACTTTCCCTGGCCTCATGGGGTTCCCTCTCCCTGTGCAGTCACTCCCAAGGATTACCAGCCCCCTGGCTTCAAGGAAGATGGCAGCCCTGGTGACCTCTTGTTTGCTGGGGATCCCATCAACCTGAAAGTGGGCTCAGTCTCCACTGATTTCCACCTCATGAAAGTCAGAGTGACAACTGAGAAGAAGAGGGTGAAGAAGGCTGACAGCAACCTGATCCAGAAGAATGGCCCTACTGAGATCTCCCACCAAGGGCTGGACTGCGAGGAGGATGAGGAGGAGGAGGAGTGCACAAAGGTATAGAAATAGCTCTATCCAATTCTCACCAGAAGAATAGAATTTATCTAGCAAAAACCTCCTAAAAAGAAACATTTTCCTTATGGATTTACCATCTGGGTGTATTTTTTAGGTTATATTATTTAGACAAAACATCATTTGTTTTACAGAATCACCCTTGTCCTGTCAGAGCAGATTCAAATGAGCATGAAGGGGACATAAGTGACACTCATCCAGGTAGAAAAACAGAAGCATCTTCTTTTTGCCTTGAAGATAAAGGTAAATGCCCAGTTTCAAAACTGAAGGAGCTTCTGCTCCTGATTGTATCTCAGCATAATGTATTCCACACAATGTCCTGGGTATGGTCTTTCAGTGCTGTTAATAACAGCAGGTTATTTAGATATTAGGGGATTAGGAATTGTTCCCTGGCAGGGTGGGCAGGCCCTGGCACAGGTGCCCAGAGCAGCTGGGGCTGCCCCTGGATCCCTGGCAGTGCCCAAGGCCAGGCTGGACATTGGGGCTGGAGCAGCCTGGGACAGTGGGAGGTGTCCCTGCCATGGCAGGGGTGGCACTGGATTGGTTTTAAGGTCCTTTCCATCCCAACCCATTCCATGATTCTGTGATTCTCTATTATTTAAGTTTTGGATATGTGCAAAGTTTGTCAGGCTGTTTGTGTCAGGTCAGACTGAACTGTAACAAAGGGCTGGTTGATTATTCTTGGTTTGTTAACAGAAACATTTGATTTTGTATCAGTATCTTTGTACCTCTTTATCTCAGCAGTTTTTTGAGATATGGAGGAAATGCACAGATCATCAAAACTGAGTTACATTATCTCCATGTTCAACAAAGCTCTTTTCCTTTAGCTGTTACAGTTTGACTTTTGCTAATAACTTCCATGTGGGAAAAGATACATTAAAATACATGAGAAAAAAGCCTTTTCTGTGCCTTTAATCAACCCAGCCTGTGCTATACCATGCTGTTTGACCTTCGAGGCTCTGGGATCTAGCCTGTGGAACAATACCATCTAGTGACAAAATGGTAAATAGCATTCCTGGGATTGTCAGGCAGTAGGATAAAGCAGCTTTCCTGCCTGTGAAATCACCTTTGCAGGTCTTTCTCCTGCAGATTCCCCGATGACTAATAAGGAATTCACTCATCCTGCCATTTTTGTTGCTCTGGGGATTTTTACAGGATCCTCCTTCTCTAAACAGTTGCCTCATCTCATGACACTGAGGCACTTTGGACACCCCCTCAAATTTTATTGAAACTGTCTGAAAGGTTAATAAATATTAACCAGGGGAGATCTCCCCTCCTATCCCCCACCCCTCACACTTAGGGCATGTCTAGACATAAGCTTTGTTTTCTTAGATCCAGGTTAAAAGGGAGATTTTAATTGCTAGAGCTGCTGCAAGCTGATGTTCAGATGACACTTCATGCTGAAATCTCTCTTTCTAGGAATAAACTGCCACTGCTGGCAGTGTCTGAGAGCAAAGCTTACACAATTTCATGGGATTTCTGCCTCAGTGGTTTAGTCAAGCTTCCAGATGATTTATTTTTATTAAATTAAGCACTTTGCAGCTAATTTTGCCTTGCTGTTTGGGTTGCAGGTAGCAAGAAGAGAGGAATCAAGGAGACAGACAGGATGCCTTGCTCAAGGGCATGTCAGGAGGTGAGGAAGCTTTAGTGGTTCTGAGATACTCCAGGCACAGGGGAATACACTGCCATGGATCATTGCATCATCAAATTCACTAACATCAGTGGATTTACTGTGCAGGGTAACAATACATAGAGGCTACAGAGTAGCAGAGGGATGTCAACATAAACAAGAAGCATTTAGGAAGAAGCTTTCCATGATCAGTTAATTTCCTCTGCCCAGTACTGGAATTTAATTCTGTTCTCTGGAGTTAGGACCTCTGAGTAACACACACAGAGCCAATCTCTGTCCCAGCCAGCCTTGTTTACCTGGGGGTGGTTTTAGATTAAGGGTCTGAAATCACTACTCTATTTTAGGTTTGAAGGGTGTATTTTTTGCCTAATATGGTCTTCACCTCTCCCCTCTTGCTTCCAGACTTTCTTTACATGTGAGTCACAGGTACCTAATGATTCCTATCCCTTTTTGGTTACCCCTCTGGGCTAGGAAGAATTATCCCCTGGAGGTACTGATCTCTTTTTTGATGGTTGTTGGGGCAACCCAAAGAATTAGGATAGACCAGGTAGGTTGTTTCAGATAAGTAAAAAATTAATCCCACCCTGAAAGCTGGCCAGCCAAACCCTGAGTCACCATCTGAACCCAAATTCACATGCAGAGGTTTGTTCAGTGACATGGCAAATCTCTGAATACCACCAGACTTGCCACTTGATCCTCCTCCCATTCAAATTAGCTGAGAATCATGTGAGCTTGAATGGTCAGAAACTGCATCTTTACAGGATAAGTTAATGAGAGTAGGAAATTGCTACTAAAATTTTCCCCGCCTCTGTTGAAAAGAATCCCGGGGTGTCTAACCCAGACAGCAACTGCAGACTGCAGCTCACCCTGTCATTCTAAAGGCATCTGCGAGGTATTTGCCTTGACTCTGGATCTTAGAAGTGAACTTGTGTGCCTAGGCTGGTATTTTTCAAACTTTAACCACATTTTTTTTCGTGTCACATCCTCCGCTTTCCTTCTGATCATTGTTTATTCTGTCGTCTGTGAAAACAGGAGCCTTTTTTGTTTGCGACTCATGGTTGCCCCACTGATTCATGCTCTGACCTTCTTTTGGGGCTGTCACCATGGCCAGCACAGCACCAGACACCTCTCTCAGCATGTGCATTTCATTAGAATTCGGTAGCAGGAGTGAGAGTGTCTGAAGGTGGTGGAAACAGCATTAGTTGCTGAAAAATGGAAGAATCACTTTATCCATCATGTGCTTCCAAAGACTTTTAAAAAAATCCCAAGCCCTGGGAGATTCTTTTCTTAATGTATTCTTTGATGCTATTTTTAAAACCTCATAGCTTAGAAACTGGCTAATATTTCACCCCGTTTAGGGAAAAACAAAGTCAAGCCAGTAGTTAGAATCATCACTGTAAAGCCTGCACTAATAAAAATTTGACACTTTTTTCCATATGAGAGGGACTTTCCCTTCTTTTCTGAAGGAAGTGGTTAAAACAAATGACCATTGTGTATTCCATGTGAATCAGGAAGCCAAGCTGGTGGGTGAAGTTTGTCCTAAAAAATGAGGAGAAGCTGGGGTTGAAGTTTGAGTTAGGTGTTGTCTGACAGGGTCAGGTGTAGGTGAGATGGGTGGAGCAGACCTGGTGGGGTGTGAATGTGAACACCTTGTTGCCATCCAGCCACTATTAACAGTGTTTTCCAGCTCTTGGGTTGGGGTGGGAATGCCAAAATCTCCTGAATGAACCAGAACAATTTAGAGTGTCACAGAAAATTGCTGTCTGCACAGGGATTTGATACTCAAGAAGTTCTGAGTTCAAAACCATTACCCACAGTCACAAGTTGCTTTTGGAAATGTGGTTGAGCACATTTCTGCTCTTCAGCTGGAGTGAATCCTTCTGATTGCTTGGTTACCAAAAATAAAAACTGGACTTGAGCTTATTGGTCATTATCTTGCTGACCTAGAGCTCTTCAGGAAAACCAGGAATGAAAGTATTAAAGGCTTATTTTTGTCTCATTGACATGGGAGAGGCAAAAGGATGTGAATCTGCCAAAAGAGAAGCAGCTCTTCCTGCCCAGTGAGAGCTGGAGCTGGCCTTTAGCAGTGGTCACAGAGAGTCTCTCACAGAGGGCTTTGCAGGTTGGGGAAAAATTTTCATGTACTCCACTGGCTTCTTATCTGCCATCTCATGATTGATGATCCTTGGGATCAAATGAGAGATTGCCCTTTCCCAGCAGAGCATCTCTGCACTTAATCATCCAGAGTTAGGCACCAGCATGTAAATGAGCTCACCTCTCCTGGCTTCAGGAGCCTTCTGATTGCATCAGCCAAGGGTTTGTCCTCCTGTGCTATCTTTGTGCATCTTCCTTCTTTCCACTGGCATTTTAGGAGCTGTGAAGAGTTGGGGGAAATAGAAAATTGCTGCCCATTAGTTTAACTAATAGAAATCTGCTAGAATTGGGTCCTGCACTGGACTTGGGATTGCTTCTGAGTTCTTCAGCAAACTCTTCTATCCTCTTGTAAAGGACATCCTTGAATGTCCTTGTCCTGAAAATTGATTTTGGTCAGCTTTGTCTTCGTGTAAGCAAACATGTTGCAGTGGAATGAGTTTGGAATGGAACAGAACTAGAAGATGAGTAAAATCTGACCATGTGAACGCCTCTGCAGGCATTTATCTCCCATCAGGAAGCTGTGGGCTGAAGTTCTGGGGTGGTCCTTGGAGCACAATCTCAGTGCACAGTGAGGCAGCCGTGCAGGGAGCCCTGGCTCGCCCTGAGCTGGGAATGGTGTGGCTGGATCAGCACAGCACCAGGCAGCTCTGCCTCCCAAGTTTCTGGCTTCATCAGCTGCTGCCAGACACTGCTCCTGCTGCTGGGCTGGCTGTGCTTGTAGACTGCTGTGGGACATGAGGGAGACAAGTGTTGACACTTGGCATTGTGTGGGCATCCCAGTGGGACCAGGGATGGCTCAGGGGTTCTGCTCTGGGATTCACTGGCTGCTGTAGGCAGGCTCCTGCCATGTGGATCAGCTCTCCTGACAGGAGCTGTCTGCAGCTGAGATGTCTGGGGAGAGGTTCATACCTAAGTGTTGTGAATCAGGGCTGCTCTAGGCCTCAGAGGACAGTCTGTCTGGCCTCCAGCTGCTGCTCCTTGTGCAGAAGACTTGGCTACCTGGCCATGTGCTCCTTCTCCAAGGGACTGTGTGGACACAGACTTTCATGGATGATGCAGTAATACCTGTCCAGTGTGCCAGGGATCAGTGTCAGTTACCCTGATAGAGACCTCAGAGCCCCTTCCAGTGCCCAAAGGGACTCCAAGAGAGCTGGAGAGGGACTTGGAATAAGGGCCTGGAGGGACAGGACACAGGGAATGGCTCCCACTGCCAGAGGGCAGGGATGGATGGGATATTGGGAATGAGGAATTGTTCCCTGGCAGGGTGGGCAGGCCCTGGCACAGGGTGCCCAGAGCAGCTGGGGCTGCCCCTGGATCCCTGGCAGTGCCCAAGGCCAGGCTGGACATTGGGGCTTGGAGCAGCCTGGGACAGTGGGAGGTGTCCCTGCCATGGCAGGGGGTAGAGTGAGATGAGCTTTAAGATTCCTTCCAGCCCAAACCATTCCATAGCTCCTGTGCCCTGCTGAGCTGCAGTGTTGTACACAGCTTCTTTCTGGCAGTGAAGGTCAGCACAAGTGTGTTCAACTGCAGAACAACAGCTTGGAGATCAGGACCTTTGTTGTCTGATTTTTCCCAGGCAAACCACGTTCAGAAGTGCCATGACAGAAGGCAGTTGAAGGATGAAGCCTGCCATGTGCAGAGCAATAGGAAAGCATTTTTCTGTGGCAATATCGTTATCTTGAACTTTCACAGAAGAGGAAAAAAGCAGCAAGGTTTATCTCTGTCTGTCTATCAAGAGAGTGTATCTGATGAGAAGTTCCCAGAACATTTTCTCCTCCAAACCAGCTGAAGCTACACAGACCCAAGCAATGAAGAGAGAAAGATTCAGAGATGAGCTTGCCTCTCCTTCCTGTGAGCTCAGGCCATGCTGGGAGGAATGAGACAGGGAGGTCAGGAAATTCCTGGCTTCTCTCAGTCCACGTCAGATCCTTAGCTGTATCTTGGGGCCATTCATCCCTTCCATGAGTTATCCCTGTCTAGTGTGCAGGAAACAGTTTCCTAGTGATCTCTGCATGCAGAGGTGAGGCCTGTCACCCCACAGGTCCAGGGAGATTTAACCCTTGCACCCTCAGATTCCCTGGCAGCTCCCACAGGGACATCTGCGGGAAGATGTGGCGCTTCCGTGCTGGCTGCCACTCCATGTGTTCATGCTGTGCATTCTAGCAGCCAGACCCTCTGGAGAAATCCACATAAATTAAGGTTGGAAACATCTAATATCCTATGAGGGCCTGCTGGGTAGCAGCCTCATAGGCAGAAAGAGTGTCCATTGTCCTTTTCCCCTCAGTTACAGAGTTGGAATCAGGATTCTGGGAAGTGATTGTGATCCAGCAATGAGAATGTCCCTCACAGAAGTGGACAGTGTGATTGAGGGCCCTGGAGGAGATTAGCAGGAGAGGTGTTGGTAATTTTGTCTTCTAACAGAAATTTTTGAAGCTGGAATTTTGGAATTTTTGAATTCTGGAAAGATCTGTTCATTAATCCTTTAAAAGCTACAAGATACACGAAGGTGTGAGACAAAAGAGTGGCACTGAATGACAAAGGTTTATCAAGAACTGAGGAAAAGGAAGAGGACTGGTGATAGTCAGTGATGTGTTGGCGTGGTTTCCTGGGCACAAAAACGTGGCAGCTTTCCACAGCAGCACCACACTGAGGGTCTCTCATTGTTCCACCTGCATAAGTTGGCTTTCACAGTAACCAGCGTGATCCTCCTGCACAGATGGAAATCAGGAGGGATTCCACTGATGTCAGTGTGACCATGGTACTGGAAACTGATGGGAACCCAGTGCTGGGGTTTAACCACAGAGCCACCCCTGCACAGCCACCGGGGTCAGCAGGGCCAACCAACCTGCTCAGAGCACAGGGAGAGGGAGAGCGTTCCTTGGGACCTGCTCCTCTCAGGTGGTGAGTATCTGCAAGGAAGGAGGCTCCACAACCTCCCTGGCTGACTTTCACCACTACTTCGTTGCCCTCACATTAAAAAAATTAAAAGTTTGTCCATATGTTTAAATGGAATTTCTTGTATTTCCCTGGAAGTGCTCAAGGCCAGGTTAGATGGGCTGTGGAGCAACCTGGGCTAGTGGAGAGTGTCCCAGCTCATGACAAGGGAGTGGAATGAGATGAGCTCTAAGATCCCTTCCAACACAAACCATTCTGGGAATCTGTGATTCTGTGGTTTCAGTTTGTGTCCATCTCCTCTCATCCTTCCACTGACACCATGATGTGTCCTGTGACCCTGGGATTTTGCTGTGCTTCGGAGCACGGAGCAGCCAGCTGTCAGTGAGCAGGCAGGAATTAGGTCTTAGGGGACCAATCTGAAGAGTCACCAGGTTGATTTTTGGAAGTGACAAGAGTTTGTTGTGCTGTTGAGTCAGTGGTAGCTGCAGTTGAAATCACAGGATGCCTCAGGTCACTCTGATTAACATCCCTGATGATGAAAGTCCTCCACACAAACTGTTGTCCTGACACCTGAGGGTCACTCTGCCTTATTTCAGCAGCTCATTCTTGTATCTCAGCCCTTATTCTTCCAGCTTGCTCGATGGAACTGCACTTCTTTTGACATTCATGTGCTTGTGAATTTGTGGGGATAGTTACAAGGTACCAAACAAAACCCTCCGTGTCCTGGACAAAGGGAACTCTTCTGAGGACATAAAATCTGCCAAGTGCCAAACCCCAGCATGGGGCAGCCCAGGGACAAAGAGGGACACAGCCGAATGCTCTTGTGCAATTTTAGCTGTTCTGCATAGGATGCCTTGGGAAGCAAAACACATGTCAGGAGAGCTGTAAATCTTCTTCAATTTATGCTGGGAATTTTTGGCCGGAATATGTGGGGACACTGGGGATTGCAAACTGCAGAGCACAAAAACCGGGTCCTGATTGAGTCTATCTAAGAATAGCAGTGTGGCTGTGGTCTGCTTGCTCTGCTTCGTCCACCCGTCTGCCTTGGGAAGGTTTTAATCTAAGTCTAATCTATTTTTAGCCTGATATCTTCTCCAGACAATTCGCAGCTGTCCTGTGAGTTTTATGCCAGAAATTAGTAACACTTGTATGATTCACAAGTTAGCTGCAGTTCTACAGGAAAACTCCTGCGGCAAAATATTGCTTTTTTACACGTAGTAAAACAGGAGATTCACACTCACTGATATGACCCAGACCCTGAACTCTGCCTTGGACTCAGAGTCAGGAGGTCATGGAGCTGCTGCTGCCTTTGCTGCTTGCTCTGGGCTTGTCCCACCTGTCAGCATGGTCCCTTTTTGGGGTGAAAGTGCAAGGGGCTGCACTTTGTCCTACCTGCTTCTACAGTTCCTGGCTCATCCGTGGGGCTGAGGTTGTGTATGAGGAAATGCAACATTCTCACAGCCCAAGCTCTGACATCAGTTATTCAAGTGAAGCATCCCAGTACGTGGGAAAAATTAGAATTAATTAACTTCTGGAGGCTTTGATTGTATGTTTAATCAATGGGAGGGATTTCCTGCTTCTCACCACACCGTTGAAGAGGTTTACTTTCTGCTTCAAGTCAAATAAGCATATGTCGGGTCTGACTTAATCCCCTTTAGAGCAGCATTTCTGGGGAAGAGGCTGGAGTGTTTGGTTAAGGATGGGAGCTGAAGTTGGACTTGGGGTCTGTTCCTGGCTCCAAGCTCCTACGTGAGCTTGGGCAGGGACGGGCCAGGACACGTTGGCTGCAGTGAAATACCTCTCACTGTTGACATCTGATTCATTGAATGGGTGAATAGTGCTTCTCTAGAGCCCTCCATGGCTTCCTTGGATGTTTTCACTCCTCATCTCAGGTTCCTGCGAGGTGCTCGTGCTGCCTGTGGTAAAGGGCAGGAGAACTGGGGGGAGCTGGAGTGCAAGCAGCTGCTCATCGTGGCTATTTCTCCACCTTACAAGTATCCCATCCATGCAGGAAATTCTGGAGGAATAGCAAAGGGGTAAAACCTTCACTGAGTAGCTTTGTGGGCTGTGGAAGATCCATTCCTCAGGAAATTAAAGCACCAGCTCTAGCTGGGTTTAAACAGAAGGAGAGCTGCCTCATCCAGGTGATGGAGCTGGGAGACTGGGAATTGTGCCCCTGCTTTGTTGTGTGGCCAGCAAAACAGGGTACAAACCCTGCAGCTGTGTTAGCACTGCAGAGGTTTGGATGCAAGGTTTCCTTCTCTGGGCCCTTCACTTCAAAACTAGAAGGAAGCAGACGGGTTAAAACAATGCTAGGGAGAGGAAAATAAATAGCTGCCAAAAATGCCAGTTGGAGCAGCTGAATATCAGGTGAGGAGCTGTAACACATGGCTCTGTCCTCAAGCAAACACACCTTGGGCAGCCTTGGAAAGCTCTGTCAGCCTGACTGTGCAGGGTGAGGGAGAACTTGCCCAGCCCACTTTGGCACATTCTTGTTTTCTCTGCTTTTAGGGAAAGGAAATTGTACTTTTGCATTAAGCAACATTGTATGGCTCATAATGAAGAGGAGGGAAGAAAAACAAATTGAAACACGATAGAGAGGGGAAGGGAGGCTGTTGTAAAGTATTTTGCTGTTAATCCCTAATCAGAGCTATTTCACACATTAGAAAGCCCATTGCTATGCAGAGATTGCCGAAGCCTCATTCCAAGGTCAGATGGAAAGCCAGCCTTGGTGACGTGAGTGGGGAATTCTATAATGACCACATCTTGTAATCTGGAGACCTTGTGCTCATCCCCGGGATGTGTTCTGGAGCAGCTCTTCATTAACTCTTTGTGCTTGCCCTGCTGCAGTTCCGGGGTTCCTGGTGCCTTGCAGTGACACTAGAGGGAGGTACTCCTGTTTGGGAGCAGCAGTTCTCTTAGCACTCCTTTCCCTCGCCGTTCACCTCGCTGTCATCCAAGTGAACTTTGTTTTGGAGGAGAAGCTCTGTGCTGTGGTGTGTCCCCTCAGCTCCAGTGAGAGAGGCCACATTGCCAGACTGTGCTTTGTCCCTTCTGGGTGGGCGACAGCACACATTGCTCTCAGCAGCTCCAGATTATTATTGTAGAAATGCAAATATGTGACATGATAAGGAGGATAAGTGAGTTTGTCCCCTGGCACAGCCAACACTTCAGCTGTCATCCTGGTTGGCCATCTCCCTGTGGTCTGTCTGAAGTGTCTGTTCCATTGACTCACTTAGATTCTCACATATATTTATCTGTGTTTTTTAACCTCTTGGGTCGCAGGCTCAGAGTATTTCTGGGAGAGGTTTGTGTCTTTCTAGAGGGAAGTTAAGCCTTTTGGGAAAAAGTTTGCTTGGCTTAGTTATTTTTCACAGACTCACAGGTAGTCTTGAAGCCTGAGATTGACCAGCTCACACTGAATTCCTTGATCTACAAACAGAGGGACTGTGTGTCTTCTCCTGAAAGGCTGTGACAAATTTCACTTAAGTGCCTCCTGTTTTTCCATGTGTTATGATTATCTGAGGTTGGTTGAGAAACAAATGCCCTGTCAGCTATTATATTCCTCAAGGATCTCCTTGCTCCTGCTATTTTCTGACAGTGATGGGGAGATGGGTCCTGTCCCCTTGCCACCAAATCCATTCCTTGTCCCTGAAGCTGAACCTGTTGCTTGCACAACTGTTACATTCCCAGCTCCATCCAGTACTCCAGTTTTGATTCCTTGCCTAATTGCTTTTCTGGAGAACAGGATCACACTGAGCAAAGCCAGGAGGATCCAGGCATACACATGACACTTTTGGAAGCTGTACTTTTTAACTCATGTTGCAGGAGCGTGCCCTGTGAGAATGATCCCTGTTTCTGATGGTTCTTACAGATAAACCTCCTGAACCTTGCCTTCAGCCAGGAAGAGGTAATAGGACCTGAGAAGAAAAGGAAGGTCAGTGAACCAGAGAAGCTGCCTCTGAATGGCAGGAAATTATGTTCGTTCTGACACACAATACATTTGGAAGGTGTGAGTTTGCATTGTCATCTGACTGGTACAGACCAATGTTTAACTCCTCCCCATCCCACGTGTATTTCTGCATGTTTATTTGTCTCCTGAAAACTCTGGATTGCCAAGAGACAGCAAGCACCAGAACTGCCATGGCATTGCCAACCAGCTGCACTTGTTTGATGTTCTTAAGCTGAGAAGTTGCCATTCCACATGAACAGTGTCTGTGTGCTTCTTTCTTCCTCTTTCCCTCACACCCCCTGCCCCTCCCTGGATAAGTCCCCTCCTCTGGGGCTGGACTGTCCTGTCACCCTGATTTAAGGCATTATTTCCAGATGAACACTGAGGTATCAATGCCAGCAGGCAGCATTTCTCATGATCCACCACACTGTGCTTAACTGCATCCTTTCTGCTGTTTCCTGGAGCTTAGATTTTTTTTTTCAAAGAAGGGGTCTTATCTCTATTGAGTGCAGAGATAAACTAATCTGTACACATTTTCTGCCAGTGCTGGATATTTAGATTTTTCTTCTGACTCTGCAAGTAGTGTTGCCATGACTGTATTATCAGCTTATTTCTAAGTCAGCACCCCATCATGTGCCGAGGGGCTCAGCAGTTATGTGATATAAATTGTGTTGCAAAATACCCAGTTTAGAACCTGCTGTGAGAAAGGTACCTGGTGGCAGCAAATACAGGTAAGGAGAGCAACACATGACAGGTATCTGATCCATAGAGTCTGGAGCTCTCATCTGCTGTGGCAGTATCCAAGATTGGCTGCAGACATCAGGGCCCTTCCTTCCTGCTGGAACAGTGATCTTTCCTTACCTAAAGCTGCCAGGAGATGGGATTGATGCATCTCCCTTCTGTTTTGACTCTGCTTGGCCAGAAAGTTGAAAAGCCTGAGTTGAAAGCCAAGGCTGGACCTGCCTGACTGAGCAGAGGTAATGCCCAGACTGAGCCCCCTGAGATGTTCAGCCACCCTCCTTCTCCAGGCAGTGCAGTGTTGGATTGCAATCCTAAAGCCAATCCTACAGATCACAGCAAACAGACCCTGCCTGTCCCTGAGTCCCCCGCAGTGTCTGGCAGGTTCCATGGCCTAATACCTATTTCACAAAACCTGCAGAGCACCAGAATTCTCCATTTTATCCTCACTTTCACTCCATGTTCTCATTTTTGCACCTGTGGCCTAATAAGCCAGTTTGTTCACATGCCAGAGCCAGCCAGAAACTTTCCTTCTGCCCGGGTTTTGTAACAGTGTTTGCTCTTAGGGCTGCACATCCACGAGTGAGCCAGGCTCTGCACGTGGGCCTGCTGTCACCTCACAGCTCTGCCCTGGCACTGCTGGGCTCTGAGGGCCACATTCCTGCAGCCCTGACTGCACCCAAAGCTGTGTCATGCTGTTGGGTCACACACAGAAAGGAGAGTGAAGCATGGCTGTGATTATGGCTGCTCCAGCAAGGTGATCTCACTGCTCTGCATGTGATTCCCAAGGGTTAGGGGCACATCAGCCTGTCTGATGCAGACTGGGGGGTGCCAAGTGTCCTTGCCCCCAGGGAAAGTGCACACCCAGCCACCACCAGGTCAACACACGCCTTCACTGGCCTTATGATGCCCTGGTCTCATAGCCAGGGCCAGGACTCACTGTCTCAGTTCACAGGGGGTTCTAATCAGCTATTTTACGGTAATGACTTTTAGTCATTTTCATTTCAGGCTTGGTTAGAAGTAAAGCAAGTGATGATGAAGTGCCACAGTAAGCATCTGATTTTTTTTCCCCGCTTGTGGTTGCCCTCAGTTTCTAAGAAAAGTCTTTCCACTTTAGATTGGAATCATCTAAGGCACTTACACATATCCTTTTATTTATTGGTGATTCTGCTTGGCTAGTTAAAGGTGAAAAACCCTTTTTCTTGTGTTTCGGTTGCATTTCTAGTTAATACTCATTAACTGACTTAATGTATGTTACACATGATCAACCTGATTCACTACTGACATAAAACAGAAGCGATTCGTTAGTAACGGTCCCTTGCCAATTAGTGAACTAAATTACGTTTGAACAATTTTCTTCAAAGATTCTCCTCCTCCCCTCATGCATCATTTGGCAAGTCCCCTGCATGCTTACAGTAATTGTGTGCGTGCAGTGAAAGGAGACTGTTACCTCCTCAACCAAAATAAATGAATATGTGATCCCGGTGCTAATGCAGCCCTGAGTAATACAAAGAATCACAGCCATCTTCCCTTTGATCACCCAAAGATCCCAACAGCAATTAAGATTAAAAGCTGCTTAAAAAAAACTGAATATTAGGAACATTCTGTAAGGAGAAAGCGAATGCTCCCCAGGGTTTTTCAGAAAGCCAGCAAAGAAAGGGAACCTGTTCTCATTTATCACGACCACAGGCTCTTCAGTCACTGTGATGTGGATATCCTCAACCTGCCGATGCACAGCCAGGTGAGTTGGGCTTCTGAAAATCCTTTCCTTCTTTCTGGGACTGTGGTTAACAAGAGCACTCTTTTGGTTTCAAACTGAAAGTCAAACTGGAGTCAAACAGAAAACGCATCGTCTCAACCACTTCCTTAAATAGCCTGTCCTCAACAAGAAAATTACCCCAGCCCCAGGGTAATTGCGGGAAGCAGGTGGACAGGTATCAGCATTTGGTTTTCACCTGAAACCAGAGGATTCTTTTGGGATTTCCATGGCTGTGTGTGATCTAGAAAGTCGTCTGATCTGATCACTGCTGCTGCTGTTTCAGTTTTGGAGATATGGCAGAGAGGAGAAACATGACCAGGAGGAGGAGAAACGAAAATGAGTTCATGTTAAAAACAGGAGAGTCCTGTCATTGATTTTCATGGGGCATGGAGGGGCCTCTATCCATGGTGGTGAAACAAAAAATCGCTGTCCCAGTGAGCTGAATGCTCATGTTTTCCCTCCAGTGGATTTAGGAAGTGACCCCAGTGGAATGTCTTGGCTATAACTTGCTCTGAAGGTGTTTAGAAATCAACCAGTGTTTTCCTGAGTGTAATTCTAATCATCAATCTTTTACCTCAGGGGCTGTTCTGTGAGATTACCATCTCGGGATTTTGGCTGGAAGTTTAATTTTTGTAGGTTCTGCATTCTTCCCCTTGAGTCAGCAGGTAAGGTATGTGGCTGTGGCCTGCATTTGTCATGCCACAGGGCTGCCATTCTTGGGGGCCAGGGCCCTCATGCCAAAAGCAATGTCACCCTGCCAAAAGCAATGTCATCCTGCTGGAATCCCACCCACGTGTGTCACCGGGCAAGGTCTTTTCTGTTAATGGATGAGTAAAATTTTCACCAGGCTTTTGTTGTCATCACGAGGTAAGTAAGAGGGATTTGCATCTGAGCTGGCACATTTTCCAGAATGAGTTTCCAAGGCTAATTTAAGTCTGGTTGGCCTGTAGATCTTTCCTTTAAGCGGAGGCTGAGATTCCGAAGGCTCACAGTTTTCCATAGGAAACACCGCCCTGGGTGTCCATGTGCCAGACAGGCCTGTTTGGCATTTCCCAGAGCATCAATGACCCACTGTTCTACTGCAGAATCCATTGGCTGATGGTGTGAATACCTGCCTGGGGAGCTGGCTGCACACTGGGAAAACAGGAATGCAAATAGCCTGGCTGTGATCAGTGCATTCAGCACTCACATCCCTCAAGTGTCCAAGGCCAAGTTGGACAGGGCTTGGAGCACCCTGGGATAGTGGAAGGTGTCCCCATGGCAGGGGGTGGGATGAGATGGGCTTTAAGGTCCCTTCTCAACCAAACCATTCACAATTCTATGAATTAACGTCCTTCAGGAAGGTTTGTGGCTATTCATAAGAAAAGCACCCAGCCCAGCCCTGGAAGGCTTTGGGCAAACACCAGAGAGAGAAGGGGGATGTGGGAGGCAAATACAAGGTACTGGTTTCTTTTCCAGGCATGTCATGCTATATTCTGTTCATGGTACTTGCGTTTCTCTACAGGACGTGAAACGGGGGATGTTTACTGTGTTGAAAGTCTGGGCTTGATAACAGGAAACCAAGTCCTTTGTGCAGTGGATTGACCTTGAATCACACACAGACCTTTTTTTCAGTAACAGAGGGTAAGACTGTGTAAAACACAGAAAAATGGTGTCTCCAGAAAACAAAACTGGCATTTGGAGTTGGCTAGAATGTGCCCAAGCCTCTGCCAGCCTCAGCTCCCTGAATGTCAGCCCGAGCAGGTGGTCGAGGCACAGCCACGGGTCAGGGCCTTGTAGGAGAATCAGGGGGACAGTTGCTTTTTGTCCCTCAATACTCTTCCTTAAAAGTTCACTCTAGACAGAAAAACGAAGCTGCATGTGCCTGTGGGTGAGGAGCAGTGCTGGGATGCAGGAGACCCTGCAGTGTGGGGACACTCAGAGGTTTAGGGAAGGACTCCCTCCCTCCCAGTCTTTCCCCACAGAGGCAGTGCTGGCCTTTGGGGCAGGAGCCATCTCAGGAGCTCCTTGCAGGAGTTTGTTACAGGGATTTGATCTGTTGGATGTTTCCAAGTGCTTCCTCAGTGTTATTAAAACAGCACTGCAGGATGCAGCTCTATAATAACCAATAATTCCAGAGTGAAGGAGCTTCTGCTTACATGCAAAAACCTACATGCAAAAACATGCTGAACTCTGCTCACACATCTCCAGCTGTTCTCTGCTGCAGCTCTCCAGGCACAGAATGACAGAATGGTTTTCATGGAAAGGGACCTTAAAGCTCACCTCACTCCTCCCCCTGCCATGGGCAGGGACATTTTCCACTAGCCCAGGTTATTCCAGCCTGGCCTTGGGCACTGCCAGGGATCCAGGGGCAGCCCCAGCTGCTCTGGGCACCTGTGCCAGGGCCTGCCCACCCTGCCAGGGAACAATTCCTCATTCCCAATATCCCATCCATCCCTGCCCTCTGGCAGTGGGAGCCATTCCCTGGGTCCTGTCCCTCCATCCCTTGTCCCCAGTCCCTCTGCAGCTCTCCTGGAGCCCCTTTAGGCCCTGCAAGGGGCTC